CAATGTGTGGTGAGTAGTGACCGTTAGTCCATAATTATCCAGAAATCGTGAGATGCGGTCTGGTGTGATGTAGGTTTCAGAAAAACATTTTCTTTATCGTGCCAACGTTTCGATCTTTATTGAGATCATCTTCAGGGCCTGGGTTTTACAAACATTGTTTAAATTTAACAAATACATGTAGGATGTGGAAAACAGTGAATTTATACAATGCAAAATATGTTTTTTATATCCAATCAACGTATTTCTACTCATTCTAGTGTTTGTCTTCTGTGTAATTGTGCCATTCTTGCGTGTCGTGTTGAGAGCGCATATACGCTCCGAACCTATACTTGGGGTAACAAAAACTTGTATAGAATCCTCCTCTTAAACTCTAGCGGCCCTAGAGAACTTATGATGAACCAACCCTCACCAAGACTGGCAAAATCACAGCTTAATTGGAGAGGGCTAGACTCAGAGGAGTGGTAGAACTACTAACCGGTCACTGCCATCTGAGAAAATATCTACACAACATGGGCATAAACAACGATGATCCCATCTGCAGATTATGTAACGAGGAGGAGGAAACAGCCACCCATATCATCTTCGAACACAATGAATATTTAACCTAACATACGAAAAAATGTAGGGAATGAAATTGAAACAGCAACAGTCAATGACCTGATACTTCGAAGAAGAAGGATTAAGTCTATTGCACTAAGCTAAGGAACTAGTTAGGTACAATAAGCCAGAAGGCTGCAGTGCCTGGGGAGCACAAACCCCGCTTCCTAGTAACCTAATTACCATACCATACCATGTCTTCCAGGAGATGATATGGGTGGCTGTTTCATCCACTTTATTGCAAAACAGTGGTACAAGAGAACCTAATCTAGACGAGTTAAGACGGTTTTATTAAACTCGGGGCAAATTACTCTATCTTAATTACAAGCCATGGCTAGAAAAGTACTCGAATGTTGCTGAATTGTTCTGTCATTTAATTGTAAGAGAGGATTCTTATGATTTTTTTTTGCCTTGTGAAAGTCACATCTGCCTTATATCTTAAGGGAAAACGTGGAGGCAGCCCGCGACCCACCTGCGCCGCCGCCGCAGCGGATACCAGGTGCTTAATTTTCAGAGGTGTGTATCCCTCTTTCTTACAACAGACTATCAGAGGGACGTGGATAAAAACAATTTACATCACTTAAACTGCTAAGGAAAAGTCCAAGTCCGTCCCCTATCCGTGGCTCAGAGTGCCCAGACCACCTAGAAAGGTACCCGTATAGGACCGACCACACTTATCCACCTATTAGATAACCACTTTATTAGCCTTAATGAAGCTATTATATCTCTTATTTGGAGTTTATTTATGTTGGTTACAATTACGTTACTTTTTGTAGGCCTAGAACAGGCGACTTCTCACAACAGCGGAATAAAAAAGGCTCTATTTTTGGAAGTGAAGAGACAGGACAGAAAAACCTTTTAATCCTTTTTAAAAAGATAGGTCCTACTCACAGTAAGTTATTCTTCAACGATCCGGATTTCGAGCTTTTAGCTCATCATCAGGTTGTAGAACTCCTTCAACCTGATGAAGAGCTAAAAGGCTCAAAATCCAGTCGTTGAAGAACAACTTACTGTGAGTAGGAACTATCTTTTTAAAAAGGATCGAACACCGCACTCACTCCACCATTCGTCATTTCTAGAAGAACCTTTTGTCCTGGTCCGTCACGGTTTACTGGACAAACTCACACGCTGGTCTATATTTTTGCCGATTTTATAAAGGTGGTATGGCAAACAGACAACGGTTCTGTCGGAAACCGCAAATGGATGTGAAAAGTATGGGCAGATGATGTGGCTGAACCATAATTTTGGTATTTACCTTGCATATATTTTCCCCTCAGTGTGTTCGCCATGTCGTACTCCTTCAAACATTTTTCTCTTTCATATTTGTTTATGCATTATATCGGTGACCGTGACCACTGGTTTTTCGGTGTCTGAGCTGACAGATTCTTTGAGGAAGTCGACTATGTTGTTGTACGGATTGTTGCTATGGAGCCTTTCATTTCGGCAAGAAAAACCCGCTGAGGGAAGAAATTCTTCCATTTGTAACTAGTAGACCCAACACGCCTGGAGAGTACGATTTGACTGGTTATCAGATATGTCTTTGATGTGGTCCCTGCTTCGGTGTTTATGTATAAACAACAAAATAAAATCCATGAATATTCTATAATTTAGGAGTACCTTAACTTTAGCCTTGCCACTTTATATAGTTTTGACTTTTTTGTTTAAGATACAACAAACTCAACAGACGGCTGTCATTTTTTTAAAAACGTACAAATCGTATTAAAATTGATAAAGTTTATTGTTATTATAATCGATAAGAATTCATATTTCAACTAGAACTCGTCTTACTCTCGAAATTTTTCGTTTTGAGATTTTAGGGTGTGTTTTTATCTGCTTGTGTGGCGGTACTCAAAACCTAATGCATGAATTCTTATGTAATAAGTAGCCCACTATGTACGTAGGTACGTTGGAATCATTTCGTAACGGGTTTCCCTAACTTTTACTTTTGTCCAAGGCAGCGAAGAAACTCCGCCCCCCCATGCGTTAATTTTGTTAAAACATTTTGCGTAATTTGCAAGGTGGTGGATCTAACTAGCAATCATATTTTAATGATAACGATCCATGCTTGTTCTAAAATTATCAATACTTTATAAATTAAAAAACAAATAAACAATCTCCATGCACATGGAGTACGTAATTATCTGCTAAAGGATTTTCCGATACAGAAAAACATATTAAAATGCTTAATCATTTAAGAGATTTTTTTTTAAATAAATAAAACGAATGAGGGGGAGATGTTATCTAATTGATCAACCAACAACACTATCAAGTCTGGGTCTTGTAATTTAAAAAGTCGTTATTAAACGTAAAACTAACAATTGAAGACTTTTTCTATGATGAATTTGTGATTGAGCCATGTTTTAACGCAAAATCATAAATTCATTTGATAGAATTTCAATGTTCTAATTGTGCTCCGGTTGTGCAGTTTAAGCTCACTTTCTCGTTACTGACTGTGGTCTCCCTTTTCCACTGGGACCTAATAAATCAATAGTGGAATTGACCCTAGTCTATATCCATAACCAAGAAAATGATCTATCCGGTTTCGGTCATATAGCATACATTCCGATATCTGATCTTGTGAAGACTTGCCTGCTGAGAAAGTACTAGATTTTTGTTTTACTGGTTGAGAAGTTAAGAAACTTCTTTTATTTAGTTATTTCTTTCTGCACCATTCAGTTCCGCTTTTTAGCATATTTCGGGGTGTCTCAATATGCGGTTCTAGTTCAAAGAGTGTAAGGGACTGGTTTTACTTATTTCTCCACTCATTTATTCAGTTACGCTTTTAGAATGTTTTGGGTTGTGATTTGCGGCTCTGGTTCAAAGGGGAGATAGATGGTCCTGTTTTTGCCATTTTTCCAGGCTCTTTGTTGCTTTCAATCCCTCCATGTCCGGTTACCGGATTTCGATCCCCTAAGAGAGGCATTTCTAGACCAACTTTGGGTTGAAAGTAAAGTCTAAAGGCTTCAGTACTGCTTGGCTGGATGAAAATATAGTTTTGCAACTTTTAACCCACCTTTAAGTATTTCTTGTGCAAAGAGATCTATTGGATCTCAAGTTTTAGCAAGCTTTGGGGCTCGCTGATTTGTTCTAGTTCAAAGGATGTGAGAGTTGCAACTTTTTGCTAGTTTACGTCGTTCCTTTTAATACCGTCGCGTCCGTGCACCACATTAGAGTTGCAATTATATTAGCTATTCCCAGATCAATTTTGAATTGAAGGTGCAGTCTAAACCTTTCATGCTACTTGTCTGTCCGAGAATATATCTTTCAACATTTTAATCCTTTTTTTAAATTCTTCTTCGCAGAGTTCTATTAGGAGGATCGCAAATTGGAAAATTTATAGTAAGTCGTTTAGAGATTGTGAAGCATCAGTTTTGATCGTTTGTCTAGGGTCGCAAGTATTTTTTGTAATGCCTAGCCAATTCCTGCTTTTTTAGTCTTGCATATGGATTCTATGTTCTTTTGTCGATGTACATATCAAGTGGACATGGTGTACTAAAGGAAGGGATACTATGTACGTATAGTGGGATGTTCCACGCCGAATGGTTGCCTTTTGTCATTATATTTAATTTTCACATTTTCAGCCGAAGTTTTGTGTTGATAATACGGAGTCAGTGGGAAGGAATAAGAGGAGGTATGATCGGAGGATTAATCAGTAGGTGAAAGCAAGCACTTGATCTTCCACATCAAATCTGTGTACCACAAAGAAAGCATTCGGGCAGTTCTGCTCAAGAAAAGAATTCCGTATACGACATAGTCGCAATTCTGGATTCTGAAGTGGTGTTTCCAGTAGTCAAACTGCTTAAGATGGGATGTTTTGTTCTAGGATGGGAAGGACCTTTTCTTGTACTTTTCTAGGATATGTAGGTGGTTAGGTTTATAGGGTTTTGGGATCATCTTTAAATGGATAACTTCCGTTGTACAGGAAATTGAGTATTTCTTAGGACATCGTTATAAAGGTAGGTTAGGAAGAGGATTGCTTTTTTTAAGGAGGAATCGATGGATTTCATTGGTTAGGTCGTATCCTCCTAAATTTAAACAAAAATCAACTAGCAATCCTAGATAATATATAATCAATATGGCTGTCAAGTTGACTCCGATATCGGAATGTTTTAAGGTATCGCTTTTAAAAATAACATATTTTTCAACAAAATTTTAACAAGGCAAAGAACTCGGGACATTTCTTAAACCCGACACACCATGACTGGGCATAGGCACACTAGGTATGCCAAGAGAATTTTTTTTTCACGTACTCATTACGTTCCTTTCAACATTGATCAATTTAAAAAGAGAAGAAAATCGTATAAAATTAATTCAAAAAGAAAGGAAGAGTGACTGTCATCAGACGAGAACTGGGTTTTGGGTAAAGAGAAAGTGAACGATCCGCACATCGTGTTATTCAGACTCGGTCATTTCAAGGCGATCATTCACGAACGACTTATCGCCAATCGTTTTTGATAACGGGTCGGTGAACTGCACAAGCACAAGTTTCCTTTCAGTAGTTCAGTTTCACTTTCAGTCGTATACCTGTGTTCCACAGTTCTTCGATCTTAATCCGGCTCTCATTCAGTTATTCGTGTAAGTTGCCATTTCGAATCAAAGACCGTACAAGACAATTATAACCATATTCATGTAAAGAAATCTACCGAAATAAGTAAAATGTCCAGAAATTATGGATAATATGTAATATTTAATAATATTAGAAAGCGTGTCCCCCTTTTTGAACAAAATGAAAATTATAATGCGTTCAATTTCTTTAATAACTCAGTTTTAGACAAAATGGTACTTAGTGGTAAACTGAACTATAACTATAACTATTGTAGCTTTAAATCTCTGTCTGTGTATCTCAATTTATAAAAATATTTTAAACTTGTTTTACTTACATTTATAAATTATATAAGTGAGCAGATATATTTTTTGTTATTTAAGGAAAGGATTCTTTTTTTTTACTTCTATACCAAAGATACGACTAATCAACATTTAAATNCAAGTTGAATTATCACATTTTTAAACAAAAGTATGTTCACATCAATATCAATGTATTAAAAAACATTATTTGCTGTAGTTTGTTCATTATGGATCATTTTAGTCTCCCTGTCTTTGCAGGTTTATGAGGGGACATAAAATCCCCTCGGCACCTCCAGACCACACAGAAAAAATCCATAGTCCAACACAGCCAGACTATTAAAATTTGTTGTTTGTTTAAAAAAAAAAATGCAATACTGTTTTGCCAATATCACAACAGTTAAGATTTTAAAAATATTGGTCATAGTAATTTCATCATTATTGATTATTGTATACAATTATACAATAATCAATAATGATGAAATTACTATGACCAATATTTTTAAAATCTTAACTGTTGTGATATTGGCAAAACAGTATTGCATTTTTTTTTTTAAACAAACAACAAATTTTAATAGTCTGGCTGTGTTGGACTATGGATTTTTTCTGTGTGGTCTGGAGGTGCCGAGGGGATTTTATGTCCCCTCATAAACCTGCAAAGACAGGGAGACTAAAATGATCCATAATGAACAAACTACAGCAAATAATGTTTTTTAATACATTGATATTGATGTGAACATACTTTTGTTTAAAAATGTGATAATTCAACTATAACTATAACTATTGTAGCTTTAAATCTCTGTCTGAGTATCTCAATATATAAAAATATTTTAAACTTGTTTTACATACATTTATGAATTATATAAGCAAGCATGTATAATTTTTGTTATTTGTGGAAAGGATTCTTTTTTTTTACTTCTATACAAAAGATACAAATAATCAACATCTCAATTGTTGACCCACCCAAAATGAATTATCACATTTTTAAACAAAAATATGATCAAATTAATATCAGTGTATTAAAAAAAAGTTATTGCTTTGTTGTCATTATTTGTAATTGTAGTCTGCCCAGCTAACAAAATTCATCGTTTGTTAAAGAAAAATATAAAAGATTTTTGCCAGTATCACAACAGATAAGATTTTAAAAATATTGGCCATAATTTGTTTTCATTTGGTCATTATCGATCATTTTAGCCTCCCTATCTCTGTAGTGTTAAAATTAAAATCCTCTGTGTACCCTGCAGGCCACACAGATAAATTTCACAATTTAACACAGCTAGCCAGATTAATATAAGTGTTTTGCTAGATTCATAACTGATAAGATTTAAAAATAGTTGCCTAACGATTCTGCCTGGATCCAGATAATCATTGAACCTATGAACTATTTTTTAATAGATAATATAAATTATTTTGATGCGTAATAATCACATTTTTAAACAGAAGTATGATCATAATTTTTGCATTTCGATCATTTTAATCTGTCTATCCTCACTGGGTTAAGGTTAAAATCCTCTTGACAACTCACATGCCAGGCAGAAAAATTTCACAATTTAACACAACCAGGCTAACAAAATTTGTTTAAAAAAAAGTATTTGCTTGATTCACAACTGGTAAGATTTAAAAATATTCACCTGTATATTTCTGACTGGATCCAGACAATCTTTAAACCTATGAACTTGTTAAAAACTATGTTTTTAATAGATAATATAAATTATCTTGAAGTGATTATATCAGACTTAATATTATAATTGTGTTTAAAAATCAGGTTTAAGAAAATTTGAAACAAAGAAACACAATAATCATTATTTTAAACCAAAGTATGATCACAATTTGTTGTAATTTTGTCGTTATCAATAATTTCAGTCTGGCCCATTGTTGCTGGGTTAAAATTAAAATCCTCTGAATATGCCACATACCACACAGAACAATTTCCCAATTTAACACAACCAGGCTATCAAAATTTGTTATTTGTTTAACAAAAAATATAATAGTGTTTTACCAATATCATAAATGATATAATTTAAAAATATAGGCCTAAATGTTTTGTCTGGAATTTTTTTATTTATTGAAATTTCAATTTCAATTAGAAACCCTAATAAGGACTTTAAAATTAAGTGATAAAACATATAATAAGGATTTCAATGTATATTATAGACCAGTATCTGGGAATAATCCTCCAACTAACCAACTTTTCTCACTGAAACAAATTTGACCATCAAAGGTACTCTTGAAAGAGCTTTAACTTCTTCTCAAGGAAGCTTGGATTTTAGAATAAACTCTGTTCAACTACAATAATGAATTCGTTTGTAAAAATAATGCATATTAAAGGCCGATTAGAAAGAAAACTACACGGTTCATTCGATGAATAACTGAATTAAATATTCAGGATTTTGAAACAATTTCTAATTATGTACACAAAGGCAACAAAGATATTTGTGTAGCACTGGCATTTTAAAATAATAATAATAATTTTAAAAAATTCAGATTTTTTGTTAACACCTTTACTATTATTTTGTTGTTGCTGATTATTTGATGCATGTCTGCTATTAGCTTTTTGGTTATTTAATAATTATGCTATTACTTGTTGAATTGTAGTACTGTATAAGAACATAATTATTAATGACTCAAATATATGAAAAGCTATAAAACCAATAATAATATAATTTTAGGATAAGCATTATGAGGCTTGTGATCCTTGACAATGCAGATTTGGTGTCAGAATGGGCTGCAAAGTATGTACTTAAGAAAATCACTGCTTTTAATCCTGGTCCAAACAAATATTTTGTACTTGGTCTCCCGACAGGTAAGTTTATTATTTTTTTTCTACAATCCTAAATCCATTTTGTTTGGAGTAGTATTTTTATTCTTGATTTTTACTCTTGATTCGTATCTGTATATTAATTTTTTAAGGTGGTACTCCTTTAAAAATGTATCAATTGCTTGTTGAGTATTATAAGGCTGGCAAAATATCTTTTAAATATGTAGTTACTTTTAACATGGATGAGTATGTTGGTAAGTACTTAAAGTTTAACTCAATTTATGTAGGATTTTAAATAAAAAGAATAATGAAAATCATTTTTTTCCCCAGGACTTCCCCTAGATCATCCTGAAAGTTACCATTATTATATGCATCATAACTTTTTTAAGCATATCGACATAAACCCTGAAAATGTTCATTTACTTAATGGCAATGCAGTGGATGTTAATGCTGAGTGTAAACAATTTGAAGAAAAGATTTTATCATATGGTGGTGTTAATTTATTTATAGGAGGTGAGTGTGCAGTTTTATTTAATCTTAAAATTTACAGCCGTTAGCATTTTTTTTTTTTTTTTGTACATTTATTAAGACGGATCACTATCCAATTTATAAATTTATCTTTTAGTTAAATTTTCTTTGATTTTATTCATTATCTGATCATACTTTTTAGATGGGAATAAAAACAAAAATATTGCACATAAAAAGTATTAATAGAAATAAAATATTTTGTCTATGTTTTGATTATTTCACTTATATTCAATAGATCAATGAAGCGATCTACTTTAGCTAAATTCGTAGCAATTTTTTTGCCCCCATTCTTATAATATTAACTGTAAGATACAAACCTTTTATTGAAGGTTTTTGTTGATCATAAGAAAAAATTCTAATTTACAGGAATTGGACCTGATGGCCACATTGCGTTTAATGAACCCGGTTCGTCATTATCTTCAAGGACTCGGGCCAAAACTCTTGCTTATGAAACATTACAAGCTAATGCGAGATTTTTTGATAATGATATTTCAAAAGTTCCAAAACAGGCACTTACTGTTGGCGTAGGAACTGTTATGGATGCAAAGGAGGTAAATCTATATAACATATAAATCTTCACAGTAGTTTTAATTTTGTTGTTACTGATCATTGTAATCTGCTATCTTTGATGTTTTCGTCTGTCTGAAACATTTTGCCATCTTCAGTGTTGGGCCTATGTGCTGATTCACTGAAATGGCAAAAACTTGTCTGATAGGCCAAAGTGATGGGTAATAACAAAATTACAAGTTCATCGCCTTGCAGATCTCATAACTGTCTTTTAGTAAATCCTATTTATTACTCTTATATAAGAAAATAGACACATAATAATTTGGTAGCTAACCTATTGATGTGTTTTAGGTGATGATCCTAATTACAGGATCACATAAGGCCTATGCGCTTCATAAGGCAATTGAAGAAGGGGTTAACCATATGTGGACTGTTTCAGCATTCCAGCAGCATCCTCATACAATAATTGTATGCGACGAAGATTCCACAGCAGAGCTTAAAGTTAAAACGGTGAAATATTTCAAGGTAAATTGCTACAGTTTTGAAATGTAAAACGTTATTTACAAGTGCCAACAAAACCACAATACCGAACAAAAAGTAATCAGCAAGAAAATGTTACTTTTAACTTGTACAATTTTTCTTCCTCAAATAACACCATAACCATCAGCCTGGGCAATTGTCATTTTTAATTTATAGTATACATATGGCTAAGATTATTCAATGCGTATTTTCTAGAATAAAATAACATTTAATTGGTTTTGCATGAAAAAATTTAGTCTTAAAACTAATTTAATTAATTAATTTTTTGTCCATTTTCTCATTGTTTTTATTTTCTGAAAAATTAAATGCTACAATTTAATTATCTACTTGTAGGACTTAAGTTCAGTTCACCAACAATTGGTAGAAAACGACCATCCAAGAAGATAGTTGTTTGGCAGCTATAACATAAGGTAATAAAATTAAAATTCACTCAAAGACAAAAAAACGATACTTGTATTTTGTTGTTTATTTCAAACTATATGTATTTTTATTGTCATATTTATTACAACACGCTTATTAAAATAAGACCAAATTAGACAAGATCAAAAATTCATGAGTTTTAGTAAAAATGATTTAATTATGATGGTTTGAAAGAAAATTAACCAAAACACCAGAAAATAATTTAGTGGCAAATCAAAATTTAACACAAGTTATTACCTGGTTTTGCTCTTAATAACACGTATTACCTCCTCTGGCCTTACAAGCATCGAGTAAATAAGCAACCGGATTTTGCCATTCAAAAAGAATGGTGTGAAGGATTTGTTGGAGGCAGGCAAACTATGTCTAATCTGTNTATATAATTATAAAGGCAATTCAACCATTTGGGTCATTTTTTGCCTTGATAATGATCCATAAGGCACACAAGTGTCGTAGGCCAGAGTTCGGCGCAAGCCACGAAGCCCCCGGGCCGGCGCAAGGGCGAAAGAGCGCCGGATGTATTATTTTCTTACTTCTATTGTCCTACTAGGCCTTCCGATGGATGTGCGGGTGCTGTGCCCCCACTCCCACATCCATCACAGGCCTCAGGCTTCATTTTGCCCTTGTAGGTTCCTCCGGCGCCCCGCCAATCCCGAGCTCCACGAGCGTGAAAAAAATGTCAATTAAATCTAATGCAATTTTTACGTGTTTCTGATATTGGACTCAATATTAATGAAATGATACTATATTTTTGACATTAGTGTATCTGTCTCTTTATTATGTCCTATAAGTATGGGTAGCCCTAAACCACGGTAGACCATCGTAGGTGGTAGAGTGCACCACACCCAGAATTTGGGCTAGTTGTTAATGTTATGTCTATGTTTTAAGTCAACTATTAATCCAACCATCCCTAACTATTATGTAAAATAAACAAATATTTACAGTTGTACGGTTTTTTTGTCTTTGAGTGTGTGAATTCTGAACAATTGTTCAATTTGTTTAAATCTTGAGTGTTTTAATGTGTGTAACTAACATTCGTTTATATTTTTAGATCAGTTGGTGTCTTATCTGCTGTCCATTTTATTACTTAAACAAAATACATTTATTTTGTAATTTATATTATATTTCTAATAAATAATAAATTCAAGACTACGTTTAAGACTATTTTCTATAATGATTATATATATAAACTCTAGTTTAAGGGCAGACACTATTATCCATGTTAAAATAATATAGTTCAGAAAATAAGATTTATTTATTATGATCTATTATGTACAGGTAAATTTCCTTCAATATATATTCTGTACAGATTCCAGACCAAAGATAATCCATGTGATCAAACTCTTTTATCGGTATTTTCTTACAAGCCCTTAAATTTGGTAACATCATGCACAACTTGTTTATATCCTAGAAAAATAAGTAAATATATATAATTAGTAATAGATGTATGCATTTAAAACTTCTTTACAATGTGTGGTGATTAGTGACCGTTAATCGATATTTATTTAGAAATTGTGAGATGTGGTCTGGTGTGATGGAGGTTTCAGAAAAACATTTTCTTTATCGTGCCAACGGTTCGATCTTTATTGAGAACATCTTCAGGGCCTGGGATTTACAAACATTGTTTACATATAACAATAATAGAAATACTTTGATTGAATATATAAAAAATATATTTTGCATTGTATAAATTCACTTTTCCACATCCAAAATGTAATTGTTATATGCAAACAATGTTTGTAAATCCCAGGCCCTGAAGATGATCTCAATAAAGATCGAAACGTTGGCACGACAAAGAAAATGTTTTTCTGAAACCTACATCACACCAGACCACATCTCACGATTTCTAAATAAACTACTTTACAATAAAGACTAGTCACATTGACGAACAGTAACATCAATTCACAGGTTGCTCAACTTTCATATGGGAAAATTATGTGAGCATCACTATGTTATTGTTATTTATATTGACAGCTTACAAAATTTACTTAAAAAATGGTTTAAAAAATTATGATTAGAGATTAACAGCCTGGAGTATCGTTGATACTAGTGACATTTTCAGTTCTTTTGCAATAGATTTTATGGCTACTTTGATTGGTTTATTGTTGAAAGCAATAAATCAAAATTATATTCACATAATATAAAAGGTACAAGTAATTAAAAAATTCAATGGTATTGTAAAAAGAGGTATCTTTGCTCCATATTTTGTTCTTTTATTTAAGACTTCTTTACTACCCTGCAAATGGCACTACAGCATCCGTTTATGTTTTATGGCAAAAACGTATGGCATGGTAAGTAAAATTTATTATAAGTAAATTAATTATTAAATTGATTTATAATTTTTTATGTAAAGTGTGGTTGAGAGGAAAAATTAGTGCAACGAGCGGGACTAGCTCAAGTGGTTACAGCACTGGGGTGTAGAGCCTGAGGTTGTGGGTTCGAGTTCCGCTTGTGACATTAATTTTTCATCTCAACCACACTTTGAGTAAAAAAATTTAAATCAATTTAAATGATTACTTTTGTTAACTAGGACTAACTAAAAACATTATTAACTAACATTAAATAAATAATCAATTGATCAGTCATAAAATCAAGGTTTATACGCTAATTTGGTGGGCTTTGGAATGACATAACTTGTTTTCGGACGATTTTATACCCCTCATGAATTGTGGAGCTGCTCTCATATTTGTGGGGCATTCATTATTTTATGCAGCACAGTTATTTTTATGTATCTACTAGTGCCTGTGGTAAGGTTCAGAAATTGGTTGAATCTTAAGAAGGGCAAGTGTATCGTAACCTCGGTTTGATGGTCATGTATCATGAGTTTGTGTTATTTTTTGTACATGACAGATTTATTTTAAGCTACGGGAACAGGACTGTGATAGCTGCTTTGCCTTTTCCCACTAATTTTTTTTAAATGTTTGGTGAAGTTTAGTTTTGAACAAGTATTAAAGAGGTATTCCTTCAACTAATACTTTGTGGTGTATCAAGGATCTGTATTTGGTACAGGATGTAGCTAGTTTCCATTAAAAACAGAAGTGCTTTTTATTCATACAAGTTCCTTATTTAACTTGCTCTTACTCCCAACAGGAGCAGTAGAAAGCCTTGTAATAAGCAAATAGCACACGTTGACAGGATGTGGGTTTAGACAAAAATAGAAAACAGAATTGGGCCCAGTATTGAGCCCTGAGAAACAACTGCTGTTATAATGAAGGAAGATAACAGCGAGTTGTTCAGCGAAACGCGGATAGACTTCTTTTGGAGGTGTGAGTGTACAATTTTGACTAGATATGTTGGGAGCCTGTACTCAATCAAATGGTAAGCATTCCCACTTTGCTGCACAGTGTTGAAGGCCTTTTCTAAGTTCAGAAGGACAAAATCTGTGTGCTGTTTATGGTGGAAACCCTCTGTGACCTTAACTACTATGCAAGCCAATTGAGCTATGTACTGAGCCCAGGGCAGAAATCAAGTTGTTCTTCCATTATTACATGTTGTATAATATGTGGGATTCAAGTCTTTTTAATACTATCTTTTCAAATATCTTAATCAAAGAGCTGAGTAAACTAATTGGCCTTTAGCTTGAACGGATTTCATGGGGTTTATTTATTTATTTTTTAAATTATTAGATAGGTACGAAGGACCATAGCTGCTTTTCTTCTCAGGGGGAATCTTAAGCATAGAGTTTGAGATCTAGTCGAGCCCAGTTGAAGATTTAATCAATTTACAGAAGCTTATGGAAATCTGTTTAGTCTTAGCCACACCTAATGTTTTTTTATTTTAAGCAACAGAACATATAGAAGATAGAAGAGATGCTTTCTCAAACTGATTATTAGGGGGCATCGGTGGCCACAACGGTTTAGCTGTTGGTACAGTGCTCATCACTGTAGGGTAAAGGTCCCAGGTTTAAATGCCCCGAGGGTTCATATAAACCCCTAGTTGAAATACCCTCGTTAAAAAATCATATTGAACCATCTACCAATTTATATTAAAAATACCTTGCTATTTGTAAGCCAATCACCATCACTATAAAACAGCGTTGTAGGAGAAGAAACGTTATTAAGGCAATACTCGGGTGGTTTTGCATGGCCGTACTTTGCTATATTTTTTCTAACACCATAATCAAACTGACAAAATTTATCTGAAAAATGAAAAACATCATATTTTTAAATCTTGGAATGCTATACAGATTTTACAAGTATGTAACATTTGTCCTATAAAACTCCTAATAAACTGTTGATAAAACAGATAATTAGAAGACCATTAAATTTAATAACGTTTTGTTTTCATGTTTATCCAGCAAGATTTTATGATATAACAATAACCAACTTGTTGTCTTATTCTATTAATAGCCTCTCTATAGTCAAGGCTTCATAAACTGTGGATAAAATTACACAAATAAAAACAAACAAAAACTTAATAAATAAAACATGGATAGTCTGGTTAGCATTTACTCTACCCCAGAGCACTCAATATTTCTCGGGATAGTTGTGGATAAACCCTTTCACTCAAGCTAATAAATACATTGGTTTTAATAAATAACACATATCACATACACGAAGGTACAAAGATCTATATACAATTAAAAATAAATATGGCTCTGAGGGATTGGAACAGCAATCTGTGCCTGCTGCTGTGCCTCAAAGCCACAGCACAGGTTATTTGGGATGTTGAAGTTTTTTCATTGCAGACTTAATTCTTTGTAGTCTGTTATTATGTGCTCTACTGTGATAAGTTCTCACACAATGGGGACCTATATGATCTCACAAATTAAAATTAGAATTCTAGAAGAGAAGAATTCTAAAATTAGAATTCCATTAAAATGTGTCTGTGTGTGGTCTTGGTATGACCTACGCGCAACCTGGTAAGTCTGACTTTTGTATAAAATATTATGTATTATTTATAACATTTATCTTGATTTTTAAAAAAATCTGTTTTCAATCTCTCTGGAATGGGAACCCCTCAATTACGGGCAAAACCACTTCTTTCTTCATGTTCATTGTAGAGATTTCGTAGTATATGCATAGTTAAAAAAGCCAGATGGATATCCAATTATTATTACGTGGGGTGTCGGTGGCTGCAATGGTTTAGGTGTTGACACGGCGCCCATCACTGTACGGTAGTCTCGGGTTTGAATCCAGCGACCCTGCATTCGAACCCGACATACTTAGAATATTTTTTTTTCAAAGACACCGGCACCCCGATGGATGATATAACCTCTGCTGTTACAAACCCTCGTTAAAAAAAAAAAATATTATTACCTATATTTTACCTTGCTTTATAAATTGTCCAAAATGAGACAATTGCTTTGTTGTAGCACCAGCATATAACTGTCCTAATATAAGTGATGTTACATTCTGAAAAAAAGCCAATGTTTATAAAAATATATTTTTTTAAAAATTACGATGTAAGTGGTATGGATGGTCTAAATTGCTTTGAGCGCTTATTTACATTTTGTAAGGAAGAGAGGCACAATTCAAGAATATAAAAATCAGGACAGTCTCAAGTCTCTCTCAACCCTCATGCACTTCTTCCTGTGACCTAAGTATCGTCCAACTTCCATTTGCCAATACTCCTTTTTTATATTGGTCCCAATTAATGATGAAGGGAAGAAAACGAATGGTGCAATTGCTCGGTATCTTCCGTTATGGATCCCCCTTGTTCCCATTGTCAATGGTCGCCATGTTTATGGGCCCAAAAGTCTATCCAGTTGGCGATCCCAAATTTATTGCTTGAGCCCTGCCCATTTTTTTTAATAACTATCCATTAATAAATAAATCACCAGTTTTTTAATTTATTGGGGCTGTTCATGTTTCATGTTCCTCCACGTCTTGATATCTTATTTTTATCTGGGCTGGCAATTTGTTGAATTTACTGTCTAATATTATAATAGTTATTTCTCTCTTGAAAGACTGACACTTACTTGTTTTACGTAATCCGACAAAAATGTTGACATGTTATAAGCAACTGCTGGAGCAAGAACTTTCGTCAGTTTGTATTGATTCGATTCCATAATTTGTTCAATATTTCCAAATTTATCCTGTGGTATTCCAAATTTATAATATCCAAAGTTTTCAATAATTTTCTATCAAAAAAATAAATTACATGGAAATAAATTTAAAACTGCCTTATAAGGAGGAAGAACAACACTTACCGTTAGGTTTGGAAATGAAGATGAAACAAATTTGAGCAATTTTTTGTTAATATGATATAAATAAACTACTGGTGCTAAACCAGTAATTGAAGCAATTTTTCCATTAAATTCAGGTCTAGTACATTGCATTACGAACATAATTGTACTCCCTTGGGAATGGCCAATGTAATGAAGAGAATCAGAATGAGAATTTTTTAAAATAAAATCAATCATAGCAGGTAAGTCGTAGTAGCCCATTTCATGAAAACTAAAATGGTTTCAAATAATAATCAAATTTATGCCAAAAGTCCATTCTTATTATTTTGCTTTTTTAATTTTTTATATTAGATGGATATTTTCTTCTTCCATTAACTATACTAGCCTTTTCGGGACTCTTGGTTTCCCAGGCCTTGTGGCGGGGTATCTCATACTCGTGGTTTTTTTGTACTTCAGAAGCCCTATCTGTAGACAAGGTATAAATTGGGCCATGGTTGAGGTTTGACCCCTCCGTGGGTAGTACTTTAAGCCATCCTGAAGACAGGAATTTTTTTTTCAACTCAAGTACACAGTTGAGCTAAATAAATCAGTACCCAATATTTATTTTGTTTTTTAGTTATGTTTGAATGTACATAATGAATACTTTTTGTGAAAAATAAATTTTCAATTAAATACATCGTTGTTTGTTTTTCTCCTTCCGTTTACTTACTTTTGTGGAAAACTATAATTTCTAAGGAAAGTACTTTCAAATTATGAATGGAATTGGTGGACCTCAAAAGGAGAAGAGCGATTCGAAGTGAATTTGATGCACAGTGCAAAATAAATCAGGCTTGGGGATCACATAGCTGAGAATATAGGCAGGGAAGTATGTTTTAGTATCCTAAAATCAATCCCGAAAAGGCTAGAGAGAATACAAGATGAAGCTGTGATTCATTGAATAGTGAAGTTTTGAAGGACTTATAAATTTAAGAACATTGCCTGATTTTGTTTACACCTTTACCTGAAGTCCCAGTAGTCTTTATCATCATGATTCCATCGTTTGTGTTTTCTAGAATATGTGTTTCCACGAGTATTGCCCAACCAAATATCACAGCCTTGTTTTAACAAATTGAGACCTAAAATATATATATTACAAAGGTAAGTTGATAAATATATAAATTATTCTAACAAAGAACATTTTATTAAAGTATATTATGCCCCACATTATTTAATCATCTCTAAACAACCTGAGAATTTTAGTTATTTATATAATTTTAATTCAATATAACAAAATACACGATAATACAAAAATTATCTGTTATGCAACTTACAAATACTTTCCTCTGGTTTTTGGATCAACCAATTTTTTGATGTTCCCCACATTCCATGTTGTAAAAGAACAACGGGGTTATTTTTATTATTTTCATCTTTTTTCCCATTAGCCTCAACCAGTCGGTGTATCTCCAGCACATACCCATCTTCTGTCTCGACTTCATAAATATTTAACTTTAGCCCATGATTTTTCAAATTAGTTTCCTTTACAAGAAACAAAAGAAAAGTCTTTAATTAAGAGAATTTATTTTTCACAAATTGTTCTTAGACATAAAGAGCTTACTAATATTTAAATACTACAATTTATAAATGCTTACAGGGTATTCAGAATAGCTCCTCTTGTATCTCTTTATCCATTCTTTACATAAAAAATGTTTAATTTTTCTTGATGGCCACATTGCTAACCACATAGGAGGAGCATAGTAATAATTATAAAATTATTTCTGTTTTAATCAATGGTCTTGTAAATATCTAGGCTTTGAATTTCTACCTGTTCACAACAGAAACCCAAAATTAATCTGCCTCTTTTTACTTCATAAATAGGAAGTAATGTTAAGAAAAACCATAAAAATATTTTCAACATAATTGTTCTACTACAATATATGGTCAAGCTTATTATTCTTTTTTGACGGTTCTATACCGTGGCCCAATACATTTCTCTAATTTACACAGAAACACTTTGTGTTTTGTCCAATTTTGGTTGTCTATATTAACAATAAAACATAGATGAGTTAATAACAATCACTTTGATCTGCCTATCCTGGCTGGTATGTTCTGTCAAATACGATTTGGCATTTCGCCATCTCTGGTATTAAGTGAGAAACTGAAATACTGTTTGCAAGTTTAACCTCATAAAATAAGTACATTTTCACATTAGACTTTTATCATACAGTTTGGATATAAAATTTGATTCTTTCACCAATATGAATCAAGCAGAGAAATAAGTTCGCACGACTTCAAATAAGATGAAAATTAGTTATTTTTGTAGTTTGGCCAGTTCCAAACATCTTGTTCTACTACTGAAGAACTAACGAGCATTTGGATATTAAACCCTCCTGTATGACAGGAATTACTTAAGGTAGCAAAAAGCTGAAACAAGTCTGACAGACAAACACAGTGAGAATAGACAAGCAGAAATTATTACAAACAGCTCAAAACTCAAACACCTCTTTTTTTCAGTAAAAACTGTCTCCAAACTAAAATCACTATTCTCACACTCCAGATCTGCTGATAGAGGTACGGAGGTAATTCTCAGTTATTCTGTGGTGGGTTATGGAGCTGTACAGGGTTGTAGCCTGATCCCGTTATTGTTCTCCCTCTTTCTCGACGATCTCCCCGTATGTTTTGAGTATGGAATACATTATGGAAATACCACAGTAAAGATTCTTTTATACATCAAGGATACAGTAATCCTAGATCTTCCAGCTGCAATGTAAAAAATATTAATGCCTTGAAGTCCTGAGTGATAACTGGAATGTTTTAGTTAATCTTAGTAAATAAAAAATTATGGTCTTTCGAAGGGCAAGTTGGTTTTCACTTCTACAAACCAATGATTATTTGGACGTTAAGCTCTGCTGTATGACAGGGATTACTTTATTTTTATTCCTTTTGAGGTGATGAAGCTGTAGTTTGACCATATTCATTGGTGGGTTTTAACTGGCTACTGTCATCACTGACAGAAAAAGACAGTGAGGGTAAGCAGGCTAAACGCTTCAACTCTAGTTTAACAGTAGACAGCTGTTGTAACTGTTCACCTTAATACAAATCAGCAATAAAGGCATTGAAAATAATTTCATTTCAATTATAATTCAGTTTTCCATTTTGAATATTCCTCTTGAGGTGGGGACCATGGCTGAGTGGTTAGGGTGTCCGACTCTTATTTGCCATGTTAGCGGTTCTTGGTCTGAATCCTAGAATAGCCCATATCTTTTTAATTGATAATGGCATGAAAAATGTATTGTAAAGTGGTTTGACCTGTCCCCATGACTCACAGTGGGTAGTTGGACGTTAAGCCCTCCGGTATGACAAAAATTTCTTAACTTTTGGGAATGTGGTTAGGTCATCCAAGCAGTATTTGCCACACTGTAGTGGTCTTGGGTTCGAATCCTGTCATATTCCATGATTTTTTCTTAACAATAGTAGTAAAAAATTATTGTAAACTTGTCTGACCCCCTCATCAGTAACACCAAATGGGTACTTGAACGATAATCCCTATGACAGGAATTACTTTACTTTTGGGACCATGGTGGCCGAGGGGTAAGGTCATCCAACCAGTATTTGCCATGCTAGCAGTTCTTGGTCTGAATCCCAGCATAGCCCATGGCTTTTTAATTGATAATGGCATGAAAAATGTATTGTAAAATGGTTTGACCTGTCCCCACGACTCACAGTGGGTAGTTGGACGTTAGGCTCTCCTGTATGACAAAAATTACTTAACTTTTGGGAATGTGGTTAGATCATCCAAGTAGTATTTTCCACGCTGTAGTGGTCTTGGGTTCGAATCCTGCCATATTCTATGGCCTTTTCTTAATAATAGTAGTAAAAAATTATTGTAAACTGGTCTGACCCCCTCATAAGTGACACCAAATCAATAATTGAACGTTAATCTCTATACGACAGGAATTACTTTTTCTTTTGGGACCATGGTGGCCATGAGGGGTAAGGTCATCCAACTAATATTTGCCATGCCAGCAGTTCTTGGTTTGAATCCCAGCACAGCCTATGGTTTTTTTAATTGATAATGAATGAAAAATGTGTTGTAAAGTATTTGAATCCTTGTCCATGACACCCAAAACCCAAATGGACAGTTTGACGTTAAGCCCACCTGTATGGCAGGACTTACTTTTGTGACTGTGGTTAGGTCATCCGGCCGTTATTTGCCACGCTAGTGGTCCTGGGTTCGAATCCCATCATATTCCATGTTTTGTCCTTAGTAATAGTAGGAAAAAATTATTGTAAAGTGGTAAGATCCTCTTGTTTATGTCACCAGGGTAATTGGATGTTAAATCCTCTTGCATGACCAGATTATTTTACTTTTGGCTGGTGGTTGGTGTGTCGAAATCGTATTTGCCCTGATAGTAGTCCTGGGTGAATCTTGGCCCTGCCCATGGTTTTATTATCTAATAATAGTATAAAAAAAAAGGTTTGTAAAATGGTTTGACTTCTTGTTCACAACCAACAAGTATTTGGACGTTGCCTTCCTGTATGACAGTATTTAATTTTACTTTTATTGCTCTTGAGCTGTGCGATGTGATGAGGCTGTAGTTTGGCCATATTCAATTCTGGATTTTGAGTAACTACTGACATTCATCAGAACAAGACAACGAGGACAGGCAGACCAAAATCATCAGTCATACCTCAACTCCAGTATAAACAGTAGACATGCAGTTGTAACTGTTCGACAACACAAATCGGCAATAAATGCAATGAAAATAAATATTTATTGAATATCATAAACCAGTACAACTTGTTGATTGGAGATCTATTGTTTTGCAATGTTTTACAAGTCCATTAGATTTCGTGGTCCAACTGACCAAATAATTTCTTTCAATTAATTAATCTTTATGTAAGGTATTGGTTGAAATGAAAAAGTCAGTGACACGAGCGGGATTCGAACCCACGACCTACGGCTAAATACGCCGCTGCTCTACCACTTGAGCTATCGTGACTGTAGGTTAAAATGGAGAGTTGTTATCCAAGAGGATCGACAGTTCGTGGGTTCGAATCCCACTCGTGACACTGACTTTTTTATCTCAACCAATACCTTGCATAAATGTTAATTAATTGAAATATGTTTTACAAGATTATCCAAACAAAACAACACTCTCTGAGAATGTTTGCTTGCATATATAACACAAGATTATTCTAATTTGGGCAGACAAATCCGGAACAAGCATATATCAGACTGTTATCAGCAAAACTTGCAAAACATTTCAAGAGGTCAAATACTCTGAATTGACAGTCGAAATACTTTGCATTGTTTTGCAAGATTTTTTTCAAGCTGGCAATGATGCACATTTTTTCCTAACTAAGCAAGTAAAATCAACCCTAATTTTGCATTATTAAAGTAATCTAGTAAGTAATTAAAGCTTGTTGACAAAAAGGCAGACCCATTGTAATATACTTACCGTGTGTCTATTATCAAAAAAACTTTCAATAGCAAGAAACAAGTCAAATATTATTTTAAGGGACACAAAAAATTTATTATTTTTAACTTATTGCTTTTCAAAACAAGGAGATGACCGGTTTCAAATTCAGCTGTTTTTGCTCAGCTGTTCTGCTGACCACGTGTCCTTGTGGTTAAAATAATCAACTACCTAAGAGGTACCTAGACAAATCCTTTGATGGGATCTTTCTTCAGGACCCTATTTAATTAGATATTTTCTACTCTTGTTTATTGCTTATTTATGACTAGTCGTTTATGGATAAAAAATATGGACTCAAACATTCCAACTGATATCATCTAACTTGATGGTATCTTAGATCATATACCTTCTCAAGAGCACTTGATTGTGTATCTCACAGAAATTTACAAACTGGGAGAGCTTGGGATTCCTAAATTTCTTGAAATCATACCTTTCTCACAGGAGTTTTAAAGTGAAGGTTGATGAAGCATATTATAATTCGTATCCAGCGGTTAACAGAGTGCCACTCCTAGAAATAATTATATTCATTCTTTTATTAGTGAAATAAATGACAAAATTCACTGTGAAATCAATACTTTTTCAGATGATACCAAGATTTTCACAAATCTCTTGAATGTATTCACTGAACTACAAATGAGCATCGATTAAACTCAGACAAACGTGTTATTATTAATTTTTCTCACAAAAACGTTGGCCAAATTAAATACACTTACTGTATAAATAATATTACTATCTGTGAAGTGTCACAGATCAGCGATTTTTCAAATGTCTTTGCTCGAAAATTTTTATACTAATCCCATTTAGGCTCCTTATTATGACAAAGGTAGTGCTGTTATTGAGTGGGTCCAATCTTATTACATTTTTTTCCCTTATTCTCTGATATCTAGCCACAGTGACTTTGCAGGCGTGCCGGACACACCAGCCACCAGGAACCCAGACCCCGGCACCGCAGCCGGAGGAAGAAGGGAAACCTTCAATGATCCTTCATACTTTATTTTTACTGTGGCCCCTTCAGGGTATGGATAAAAACCATTACATCTAGATTGGCATGGAAAAGTCCACATCCCCAAGGTCACAGGAGCTAACATGCCCTGTCCCTCACTTGTCCAACGCGAACCACCCCCTGACAGGACCCAGGCACCCAACAACCAATCTTACTTAGTGTAGAAGATGGGACATTCTTGTGTCTTGGCATTGAATATGAGGTTCTCTTGGTCTTTCAGTTGGAGTCTCTCACGCATAGCCAAGGTCAGGCATTTCTGTATTTTGGATGAAGGATGCTCAATGATCTCATTTATGCCCCTGAGATTTTGGAATGCTTTTCTGTTAACATCCCAGCAAGGAACTTGAGACACTATGAAATATTCAGTGTTGAGCTGCATAGAACAAATTATGGATCCTTAGGGATCATATTTTTTATTCTGGGGCTGTTGAATAAAACAGGAAGTATTGCTGATCCCTTCAATGATCCCATTGCCATATTTAAATCAGCTTGCAGCCCTGGGCTAAAGAGTGTAAAGTCCTTGTTTTAATTATAATTATCTACCACACAATTTTATATTTAGTACTTTTATTCTGCCTTGTCCTTAAATATAGTTCATCTATTTATTTATGTGTTTATTTTGGTTTTGAATGTATTCATTATGAGCAAATGCCTGTGGAACTGTAATATAAAATAAATAAGATTTCTGACTGATTGCTACTTTGGCTTCTACATGGTAGTTCTTTGGCTTCTACATCATTTCAAAAAGACCTGGGGATAACAATATCATAAGACTTAAAGTTGAATAAACATGTCCTCAACATTATCAAGAAAGGAAGCTTTACCAAGTTAAACACTCATTTCTTACACCTTCTCCTGAAATACTTAAAAAATATATGTTACCTATATTTGGCCCTTTTATAGTAATACCCTAATATATCAGAGTAGTTGCTCACAAATTGCCTATTGCAACTACAAAAGATTGGTTTTATTAATTCAGGCATTCCACAGGGGTCCATCTTAGGCCTTCTTCAATTTTCCATGTACAACAGTTCTCTTTTTTACTTTTACTTCCCTTTCATTCCATCGATTAAGAGTTTAGGCTCTTGTTAGTTGGCCGATCTGTCCTTCTGCAGTAATAATTTTAACCCTGAACTTATTCACATACATCAAAAGGGTCTACCCAGAATTTATTATTATATTCAGATTATAATTGAAGAATGTCAAGGTTATGAACACCCTGCTGTCCTCTCAACTGTAGTTTGTATAACTTTCAAATTAAGTTTAGGGATAGGTTCACTACAGTATTTTGAGTGCTCTGGGTCTAAGACTTTGTTATTGTTTGTAAGATTATGAATGTGTAAAAGTAATTATGTATGAAATATCGAATTAGGATGATAAAGCTACGTGTAGGACGGTTAATTGTGAAAATATTATATAGACAACAAAGAATCCAGCATGATGTTTACTTGTTATAAGGGGAAGAGCCAAAAATGACCTTAGCTGTCAGCTGAAAAAAAAGGAAAAAGGATAAAAATGTTTCCTGAATTTTAATGATAATTATAATATTTTTAACCTTAGTGTCTGTTATATACTCTAAATAAGGCACATATAATTTTATGCTTCTTAAATAAATAAAAAATTATGACAAAAACCCACCAATGCTGACTGACCAAAAACAGCATGGATAGGCAGACCACAAAGTTCAGAACGAGTCAAGAGGAACTCTCTTTTGTGGTTCATTTACACTTTTTACCTATGAATTAAGTTTATAAACAATAAGGTGTAGGACTGTGATTAAAACACACTTTACACTTTTCTATTATCTTTTTTTTATTTTAACAATTACAAATAATTAGAATTATGAGACAACAATACAGTTCTTGAGAGACACTGTGAAGACATAAATTTTGCAACATCAAATTTAAAAGTATTTAATAAAATAGTTTTCTATTGCTTTATTTTTTTAAATAAATTTCTATTTTCTATACATGAACAGTATATTAATTTTCCAGTGTTTGGAATGTAAATCACTAAATGTTGCATGGGTGAATATGCACCAGAGTTCATGCAAAAAGAACAAAAAATTAATCATAGGATAAAATAAATAAAATTATTATTCCAGTTCAAAAAATTGAGCGAGGGAAATTTAAGAAATCTTACAACTAAATTGAAAAACAAAAACATTTTTTATCGTTAGTAAGAAAATTAATAATATAGTTCAATAAAACTAGAATATCCAAAACTTAAAAATCTTACAAATTAACTACAATTTGCCTGGTAATATTTCTGGGTTATTGAATAATACTACTTGATTTGTTCAACTATGGAAAATGGTCTTTCTAATCTTAGTATAATGAATAAACGTGCATGAGGTACAATAACAGAAAACACATATACACATTAATAGCCTAAAATAATAGCTTAAACAAATTAATACAAATGCAATTTTTGCTCTCTCTCTTAAAATAAATTGCACGTAAAAAAACCCCACAAATGTAAAATGCCAGCTACATCTAAAAAATAAACATAAAATAATTAATTCTTCGACTCCTTAAAGGATGATAGATAGAAAATATGCTCAATTTGTGGGTATATAAAATTTTGAGCAATAACAGACTCACTCAAGAGTTTTAACAAGTACTATGAGTAAAAATCTACTTTAATAATCACAATTAATTTATGTACAGCATTTGCTTAATATACTTAGGCCAAATACAAGAGATGATTTAAATAATTAATGATTGTTTCTCCAATTCATAATTGTATAAAAATGTTTCCAGGCAAATTCAGTTTTTAATATTAATTATACATTTAAATGAATCGCAGTACCACCACTTCAAGTTACATAAAACAAATCCAGCTTGTAAGGTCATTCCATTGCATTTATTAATGATAATTATGATACTTATTATTGTCAAAAGAATTTTGTTCATAATTAATTTAAAAAATAAATAATTACAAATTACTGTTTTATTTTGTTGTTACCTACACACCAATGAGACCATTATCAATTGTAATAAAGTGAACAATATACCTATTTCCATCTATAATTAATTTTCCAAAATAAATATATTAAAGATTATATCTCTTCATAACTCAAAAATTTAATATTAAGAAGAAATTAGTGGGAAAAAATATAACATGTCCAAATAAAAAAAGTACAAAATCGTCCAGTTTTTTTTATATTATTTGAAACATTTTAATGCATTTTTTGGAGTGTGTGAAACTGTTTTGTTTTTTCTTCAGACATATAAAGAACAATTATTATAATTTGTGTAACAATTATTATAAGTGATTATATATTGTAAAATAAAAAATATAGGGCATGTATTATATAAGATTGTTTTAACAAATGTCTTGAGGCATAATTTCAACCCTTATCGTTTTCCATAAATTGAAATTATTACAAAAAACCCTTTGTTATTTTATAAACAAAAGCAACTGAACTAACTCCAAAAATTTACATTAAAATATCTTAATTAATACACAATTTATAGGATTGGGATATGGACCATTATGATGCTGTCTCTTTGTAACATAAAAAAACCTAGAGCCTTTAGAAGAGATTCTACAAAAACTACTCAACACCTAACAGTAATGTTAATATTGTTACTTCAAAATTTATGAACATCCATTTACATAAATTATATTAAATTTCTTAATAAAAACGACATTTAATACAGAAAAGGGTTGTTTCATGCCATGGGGTCGAAGTACTTCATCAGAACAGCAGAACATTTGTTCTTTAACATGGATAAAATTGTTGTAATATAGAATTGTCCATATATGATTTGAAGGGGAGGTTTTTTTCAAAAACTTACTTAACATCATATGAAATATCTAAGTACATGCATATACAAAACACATGAACATACACACCATTATGACACTGTGTGCCAACTAAACTATGAATCAGCGAATGACATGGAAAAGTAAATGAATTATGCCCGAATTTGAAATCAAGAAAATTATACTACATCAGAATTCCTATTTGCAAATATTGGTAACATTTAAAAATATAAATACATTCATGCATAATTGTTAGACACAGAAGTGAGATCAGAAAAGTCTTGAAAGCTTACTGGCACTACACCTTCCTGTTAGATAAAGGTTTACAGAAATCTTTTAAGCATAACTGCAATTCAACGAATAGGAAACTTTCAAAGGTTTCCATTTTTATGCAAACCTATGTCTTCTTCTTGTATTTTATTTAAATAAATGACTGGTGAAATTACAGTAAGGTACTCAAAAAAAAAAAATATTCCGAAAATAATAATATTTAAGAGTGACAACAAAAACTTAACAAGTTCAGTTTTTAAAATATTTAACAACAATAGATAAAGACAGTCTAAAAAAAATCAATAAAATATTTTCTAATAATTCTATAATAAATCTTTATATATATGTGTACTTATACACACATTTAACAATTTTTTTTTTTTCCATGACATCTTTACATCAGAAATTAAAATTTATAGTCTACTCCAATCTCGAATTTATTGAACCATTTTTGTATTTATTTAAAACGTATAAAAATGAATTATATTTTTCTCAGTAAATGGATAACATGTAAGTTTCAAACATATGGCTTCAAAAATGACATATAATTGATATTTAATTTGTTGTACCTACTAGATTACATATGACTTTATTAATACAATGAAATATTACATTAATGATTGTAAGTATATTAGACATTTTAACATCTACTCTAATAAATACCTTACACATGGTTAAAATAAACACTATTGCTTTCTTTTCAATTTTTTATTATTTCTTAGTACACCAATATTGGTAAAACATTGCAATGTCTTATCTTAGTACCCAAAAACAAGGCACTTGCAAATTTGAAAAAAAAACTGAAATTATGAAATGTTGTATAACTCACACATTATAAAATCAAATTCTAGCCTCTTAATACTGTGCAACCAGCCTTTAAAGCTTCATTTGAAGTTATCAGTTTATGATGAGAACATTTCGGTTGAAATGTTGAATGTTATTGACTTAACTATATATGTAATTGTGTGTGCTGTACAAACATGCAGACAATAACACACTTTAAATGTGATTTTCCATTGCTTTTCATTCTGAGGAAAAATTTATTTGAGCGTTTTTAACCTTTATTAACCTAATTTCTCCTTATAATGATCGACCGTATATATATTTTAATTACATTACACAAAATATTCTCTTAAAAAAGAGTACACTAAATTAATGTACAATAATTGTTATTTAACATTAAAGATTGCATCAACAAATTAAATATTATTTTACAAAAATAGTTATATAAAAATAATTAAGTAATCATATAAAATATTGAGGGTATCTGTAATAGTGACTCAAGAAACAACTTTCTTGACACATTGAGGACTACATTGTTTATTAAAACAAATAATGGTTGTATTTTACCTTTTTTTGTAATGTTTTCAAAAGATGAAAATATATTTTGTCACTTTTTCTGATAATGATAAATAAGTAACAAATTATTATAAAAATAGATGATTATATCTGAACACGACCTTTGAATTTTTTAAAATATTTTAATTCATTTTTGGGAGCTACAAATCATTGTTCAATAATAGCCATTTTTCTATGTATATAATAAAGGATGTAATTTTTAAATCACATATATTAACAGAGATGTGGATCATAAGTTACAAAGTTCAGAAACTAAGTTATATACACAAAGAAAGTTGTTTTGTGATGACATTCTTAGTCAAAAACATTTTATCCCTTCATAAAATTTTGATTATTAAAAACATTGTCTTTTTTCTAAATCTGGAATGCAGACCAACCATCGACGAAGTTTCGAAATAGTAAAGAATTAAATTAAGCATCAGACTTACAGTCTTTCGATTTGTTTACGCAATTACACACACAACCAACTGATCACCATGCATTAATTTGTATTTATTAAAATATTTCAAATGCAGTTTCTTTTGACCTTGTGCTTTCTAAGCCCTGGAAAGAATAAAAACAGCATAAGCAATTTTTTATTTTATACATAATCAATCATAATTATTTTGAAAGTAGGTTTAAAAAGTTCAGTTTTTCCATCAATTCATTCTCTATGAATGATAAAATTGGCATTTTTTCTATTTTTGCTTATAATTTGTTTCACGGAGAAAATGAAAAATTGTAAACTTGCCTTCTGATACAAACTGCAAACATTTTTCTCAGCCATCCTTTAAGAATTTCGCTGAGTCGAATTTGGGGTAGTTAAATTGACACCTTTTCCAGAAGATGGTTCAGTTCCTTCCATTTTGGCAGAATCTGTTTTGGGTTTACGGATTTCAGCATCTGGAGGTCTATGAGATTTCATATGTGCACTTCTACTCTTAACTTTGTTAAAAATTCTGAAAAAAAATTTCGATCATCAGATATTAATTAATAGTACTATTTTATTCTTATTACTAGGCTGTTACAAAAGTCCTTGTGTGTAAAAATGTCTTATTCAAACAATATAAATCACTTTAATTCTTAAAATATAAATTATTGTTTTTCACTACTTTTACTCTGCTTTCAGCCAGCGAGTGGATTTTGTAACTACTCGCTTGGTTTCAAGGAAAAAATCTACTTTTATAACTGGATCCTTTACCAAAATATGCCGTATTACAACAAACTGTTTAGACAAAGAAGGATCTAATTTTGGCCATACTTTGTAGACACATTCTACAAATTATAAATAAGATAGTAGCTCAAGAAGAGTGGCGTTTGAAGCAAGAATTATGGCCAATAATCCGAGATTGGTGGTTTATTGGCCAACTGATCCTAGGCTATACTCTCCAATAATTCAGACAAGTGAAGGACACCTGATGAAGGCGTATCACGAAAGCTTGTATTTCCGCTACTATAATGATAGTAATCCAGTAAATAAATTTCTTCAATTTTTTAATTTTGTTCTGTTTTCCTTCTTATAATTACAGCATCAAATGGGATGTAAAAATGAATAATTGGCTTTTTTTTCAAGCGGCAGGACTTCTATAGAAATTAGTATTTAAGTGAAAATAAATAAATTCAATTTACAAGGGGTGGCTACAACTGTGGGATCATTTTAATGAAACTTTCTTCTGTAATGCATATTTGGTCAAAAAATATTAGACACGTGTCTGAGTGTTCTTGCCAATGTGCCTATTTAAATAAGGTTTTCTGTTTTTGTTATGATTGTACTTCAAAGTGATATATTAGCCAATTTATTTTAACCTAGAATAAGAAAAGAATATACAGGATTGTATTACATGACATTAGATATATAACATATTACAAAAACGAAAATATATTCTCAGCATAATTTAAAAAATGTGTTTTTGAAAAACAAAAAGCAATCCTAATTCATTTTAAGCATCCTTTAAAGTTAGCAAATACAAATTTTCGTAGTAAAGAAAAAATATATATTTTTAGGCTCGATTAGCAGCAAAAGGCATTCCAATGAAAAATACATAACTCCCTTGGATTTTGTCTAAATCCAACAGTATTGTAACCCCTGGAAAGCTGAATTTCTCTATTAAATTTTTGTAAACTATGCCAATAATGTTTAGGTTTTATGTCAGTATAAGTTAGAAAAACAAAGATAAAATTAGCCAAAAATTTTCAAATGTTGTATTTTGTATCTATGGTTCTGATTTATTTACAGAATCTAGATTTATGTCATGTCATCATGTGTAGCTTATAGTTCTAAAGGCTTGCACTGTTTCATGTAGATCAGGGGAGTAGTTTCAAAGTTATCCCAATTTTTGTGACCTTCCAAAAATAATCAGAGGGATTTGAAAGGCAAAAAATTATTTGTCGATTTTCTCAAAAATTTGTATTCAGGGGTTTTTCAGTGCAAAAAATGAATATCAAATTTGCCTTTTGCCAAAAAATAATTTTAACAACAATCTTTGGTACCAATTAATTATTCTTTTTATCTAAGGTTTTGGTTGATATGAAAAACTAGTGTCATAAGCTGGATTCGAACCCACGACCTTCGCTCAATACACTGCTGCTCTAACCACTTGAGTTATATTATAATTGGAATAATTAATATGGTCAATTATGACTACTAAGCAAATATGGATTAATGTTTGGCTTATTATATATTTCAGATCAGCAGATTATATATTTCAATATCTAAAATACTCCAATGACTAGCTGTAAAATACAATTTGACCTTTGAAAAAAAAAAAAAAAAAATTGACTGATGTATAATAATGTTAAATTACATGAACTACAAAAACAGAAACCAATATTTAAAAAAAATATTTAAGTTGCTTAAAATATTTATTTACTAGGCTTCGAGGGCTCATTGGCAAGATCATATTTTTCAAAAAACGTTTTAAAATTAGTGATTAATTAGTATTAGTTAGTGTCCGTCTTGCTAGTCAATTAAATTACTTTAATATTTTAAACTAAAACGTATTATTTACGGCTATATGCAGAGAACAAAAATAAATTGGTTGAAATTATAGATAAAATAAAAAATGACATCTGTCATAATTAATTAATTAAAATAAATTGTTTATAAATTATATCACAAACAAATTTTAATGTAAATTTTTTATAGTAGCTAATCAATTAACAATGGATGATTAACTATCATCAAAGTTAAAGCAATTTAATATTCAAGAACAGCCACTTTGGTCAAGATTTCTAACATTTCAATGTGTATTTTAAAAAAAGAAATACAGAAAGTTAAAGACTGAATTTAACATAACATAAAGTTAAATACATTAATATCAACATTACATAAATCATGCGGTTTTATAGCAGATTTTATGTAAATTATGATGCTCAATTATTATTTTATATTTAATCACAATTAATTATAAATCTATCGAGTGGGTTAAACAAAAATGTTAATATTTATTTAAATATTAGTATTCTGTACATGCACAAAAATTCATTAAGAGTTAAGGCTTTTCTCTTCACATTGATTCTGAAAGTATTATTTTGTTGAATTAATTTTTAAAACATTTCACACTATGCTAAAATAAGATGTTAAATAAAGCTAATTTTGTATGAGCAAGTCCTCTCACCAGGCAGTTAGTATTCATGCTAAATTCAAGTGTTTATTTTCCAGAAGTTTCCAACACTTTGTAAAATGTGGGAAGAATGAAAAAATCTAACCGAAACAGTACCTGGTGGTGAGGCTCTAGTGGACACACTTACTTCCCACAAATCTTGCATGGAAATTCCTCTGACGGCTCGCAATTGTTCTGCTGGCCAGTGTTTGCGCTCCTTTTATCAGGCGTAGGACTTCTTCCACTTGTACCTCCGACATGAATTCTAATGTGACCATTAAGGGCAGCACGGGAATTAAAACTCTGGAACAAAATTGAACCGTTTGGTTATACACAAAATTTATAAATTTTTGTAAATTATAAATCCTCATTGATAAAATATTTCATTTATAACAACTTTTTAGATTTTTAAAATTAATGTTCGTATAGGAGTCTGAATTTGCCCATCAAAATTATTTTTACAAAAATTGAAGCCAAACAAATTTACTAATTCTAGTTTTACACACTAAGTGATGATGATACTAATAGGTTATGAAACATTTAAGATCATGTTATTCAATAGTGTTACAATGGTGTAAAATGACTTAATCTTTTAATTCCTATTTTTTTTTTCAAATGGATTATCACTACTAATTCTACTTACTGCAGAGCAATCAGCATATTCACATACAAATAATCGACTTTCGGAACTTGTCGATACTAGTTCTGCATCATTAACCTAAAAGGAAATGGAAATAAAATATCATGAAAGAAATTATAACTTAAAATACTAAAATTTGGCTCAGTTTTCATTCAAAGTTTATTTGCATTAGTATATAGAATTCATGTTTCTTGTGCTTTTTACCAACAAGTTTGTAAATTTAGTTTTTTTACAAATTTTAAATTCAGCAATTGAAAACTCTTTTCAATGCTTTTTTTTTATTTCCAAAAATGAATAGTTCAAGTGCTGCAAGTAGATTTATGATTAAAACCATAGATAGTTGAAAAAATCCATAAAATGTTGAATATCTGCAAAAGGGGACCATGGTTCATACGAAATTTTTGTTTGTTTTTGAGGTGTACACACAACTGATGAACTTCAGTCCTTTTTAAATTAAATTTAAAATTTACAAAGGACTGAACACCACACTCACTCCACCATTTGTCATTTCTACTGATGAACTTTGTCATAAGTGTAGTGGATCACCCTGTATAATGTATGTCTATATTAAAATATATTGTATATATAAGCACTTAAACAGTACAGTTATTAAATTCACTAATTTCGTGGTCCGCTTGACCAATTAATATATTACAATTAATTAAGGTTTTTAGTTGAGATAAAAAAGTCAATGGCACGAGCGAGATTCGAACCCACGATCTTTGGCTTGATACGCCGCTGCTCTACCTCTTGAGCTATCGTGACCTCGATCCACTTGGACACTAACTTCCCATCTCAACCGCACCTTTTGAATTTTCCCCCCTTTTTGCCATTTTTCAAATGTGTAATCGGGTTGGATTCTCGACGACAAATGAAATGGGCACGGAGAGCTTTAGTGAAGTATACTTCATTTTTGATCATTAAATTCACTAATTTCGTGGTCCGCTTGACCAATTAATATATTACAATTAATTAAGGTTTTTAGTTGAGATAAAAAGTAGTATCAAGCCGAAGATCGTAGGTTCAAATCCCGCTCGTGCCATTGACTTTTTTATCTCAACTAAAAACCTTAATTAATTGTAGTACAGTTATTGTTGAATATGTGTTGATAATATGATGGCGAATGTTTTATCAGTATTAAATTTAAAAGAAAAATAAGTAAAATGCAGAAATAAACATACTTACATTAATCTCTGATTTAGGAACTTCTATTTCACGTTCACTGTCACGAAACCTTCTTCTAACCATTCTTAATTTTTTGTAATCCTCTGGGCACACCTTCTTCCAAATGTAATAAAATTGAACACATTGTGGGACAGTTTTTGAACCAATCTAAATGACAAAGATATTGCAGTAAATTACATTGGTTTGAACACCGACAAAACTCATTACCTCCTGTGCAATTAGAATGAAATCTTTATCAAATTTGAAAACGGCTTGGTGAAAAGCTTCCATTTCATTTGATGTCCATCTTTCACTATCTGCATACTCGAATGACAATAGTGGATGATCAGCTGGCAAACACGGTGTCGGTTGCATAAGTTTAAGCATCGCTTCCTGTGAAATATTGTAATTTGGTTTAAATTATATTATAACATAACAAATAAATATCATAAATTAATAAAGTCAAGGAAAGAGAACTTCAGACACCTTGAGAAATAATTTAAGGAAGCAAAATAAAACTCTTTTAGTAGTTACAGTAGTAAAATAAGTCTGCATACACCCTAAAAAATGATTTTTTCCTTTTTAATATAAAAATAAATTATTTATTACTTATTATAAAACTAAGAAAAATTGTATGTTTATGTATGTTAAATCATGTATTATTTTTTGTTTTGAAGAATAGATACTAAATTTTAAAACATTTAACGATGATAATTAAATTGTTTATGTACAATAAGTTGGAATATATCTTTGGTTTAATTCCTTTTTAACAACAACAAAAAATTCTTATCTCCTTTTATTTAAAATTAAGTGTGGAATACTTAAGAATCAATTGTGCGAGGCATGTCATAAATATTTTATTACAATGGAGGTATTGGATGAATTTAGGTGGTTGATAGTGTACCACCATAATCTTTGAAAAACTATGAGTCAAATTGCAAAAATTGTTTGACCATCTGTACAAACTATAATCTGTAAAAACAAAACTAATGCCAAAATGGTTTAGGTGTTGACATGGTGCTTATCACTCCCCACATTAAGGTAAAGGTCTAGGGTTCGAATCCAGCGGCCCTGCAATCAGTACCTGTACCCTGAGGGTTCATATAACCTAGTAGATGAAATACTCTCATTTAGAAAAAAAAAGTCACTTTAAGCACCAATCAGGGTGAAAGAAAGTGAGAGACCTCAGGAGAGAGTAATTGTTCAATATGTGTACTGTTAGTCTTCTACTAGTGCCCTGCACTAGCTGGAGATCATAATACTATAAAAAATGTGCTTAGTTAATTATAACCTTCATGTTATTTCCAGACTTAAGAATAATTTTAAAAAAAGTTTTGCATTTTGTGCAAATTTGATACATATGTATTGTTTAACATTATATAAAAATTATTTTCTCAACCCTTTATCTTACCATTAAATTAAACCTCTCCTTGAAGTACGCAGAATTTTTTATTAAGTAGGTGTACTAAATAGTTGTATTGTTAAAATGTTCAGAAAAAATTGAATATTATGTTTCTTAGAATGCAGCAAAATTCATCCACAAAAATTTTCTTAAGGTATTATAAAATAATTTATTGCTGGTATTGCCTATTTTGTTCTGAGGAGTGATGAACATATAATTTGATCCTTACTGATCGTCATAGTCTGCCTATCCTCAGTAAGGATCAAATTACAATAATATTAATTTTTAAGTTCCTCACTGAAGATGACACAATGCCAAAATGTGTTTGGGAAAATCAAAAACCCGTTTGTGGAGACTGTAAGTGACCCTGTGCCAGTTCAACACGAATATTAATTTTACCGATTGTTTTAAAAGGTTATCTATTAGTTTAATTATCGCATTAAATTTAAATATTAACCGTCAAGCGTTTTTTCTTACGTCTTGTTAAGTTCGCAAAACTGGACGTTCTAGACTTTTTCTATTCTAAAAATTAACTTCAAGGAATGGATGGACAGGTGACAGTAGAGTGTTAATATGCAATCATCCTTCAACCATCCTTTGAGGAAAAACAGAGTTTAACTTTGCACCCTACACGATCGCTTGATAGTTAAATAGATTTTATTTATTATATTGGAAATACATACATGTATTTTTCCGTGACATAAATGTAAAACATGTAAAGCATATTCCTTATTCCTTCCTCCACCAGGGACTGCAGCGCAACATGCAAACTCCAAATACATGTCAACTAAAACAAAAATAAGTTTTTTGAAAAATCAATCTTCACATTTAACAGTCACAGTTAATAAAACTTGCTTATCATATGTATTTAGATATTTAAATAATATTTCATTTTATGCTATTTATTTTACTTAGGTTATCACTAATTAAATTAATATTTTGTAAAAAAAAGTAAAAATATTTTTGGTGATTTAAAGTTCATCATCCTATCTCACTTAAAAATGTTTAAGCAATGAAAATTATATAAAATGGATGTGTCTTAACTACAAGTTGGAGCAATAGTGCTATCAAAAATGATTTTTATTTTATTTTATTTCTGGCTACCATGCCCTAAATTAGTACATATATAAAAATATTTTGATTCATTACTAATTTTTTCTACTTGATAAGCATCTGAATAATAAAACATTGAATATCCTTGTCAAGAATGTATTGAAGTTAAAAAGTTTTAATTGTTGAAAAACACCTACTTTCAGAATCATTTGACATTTCATTGAGAGAAGATTCCCAAAGGAGTTGATCTTCAGCAAATCCTGCATCCAGTTGGCTATTTTTTAAGCATGGAGGAATGCTACATTGGTATTCTGGACCAATATTAATATGAGGTACAGAATCACTCTCATACAACAATTCCTTCACATCAGCTTCTTCTATTTGCCAAAGAAAAAAATTTAGTATATATAAAAAAAAATTAATTGAACTTAACTATTGAATTAAAATTACCTTTTACTGTCGATGGACATGGCGAAGTTGCAATAGTTTGCCAGTAAAGGCCTTGCCCGTAACGGGTAGGTGGTAAAAGAGGCGTTGGTGTATAAGGAAGTTGTTCATTTGGTTCACTTTTCCTGACTTTTCTTAAGCGAGAATGATATGGTGGTTTTGAAAAAGCAGGGTTTTCAAGGCGCAATCTCTTTCTAGCCATACGTAGAGGGCTGGTAGGAATACTGAAATTAAACCAATATAGGAAATATATTTTCAAGCATGAGTATGAAACTTATTGTTTTTAATTAAAAGTATACCTTGGACTTAAAAATACATCTTCTTCTATGGCATCTTCCTTATTGTTCTCTAATAGAATACCATTGGCTTTATATAGCTTATTGCTATTTATTGACTTGGCCGGAATAGTTATAGCTTTAAGTAATTTTGATTTGTTATCAGGAGATGTAATATTTTCAGCTTTACGCTTGGTGTTAAGGTAGATGGTAGTTCCATTGATTAAGCCTGTTTTCATCGATTGAAAACAAGATGTTTGAATTAATTTCAATTCACCATTACGATCTAGTACAATCCCTGTCACACCTTGAGTTCCAGCAGAACCAAAGTCGAAGGTACCATTATGTAAAAGTTTAAAAGTGTGAAAATCAAATTTTTTACGCGAAGCAAAGTCCTTAGGGCTGCTTGATAATAATGGGTCGTCAGAATTTGGCATCATTTGTGATTGTAATGGATGGTGAGGAAGAGGGGAAGTTGATGGGGCTGAAGTCGAAAGGGGTGAAGAAACAGGTGTCGGAGATTGAGGCGGTGGCGATGGGTAGTTGTGCTGTGGAAGTACTTCATTAAGAGCAGCCTCCACTGCTGCAGAACTTGACATAGTCGTTGTATAAAATGCAGCTGATAAAGGTGAAGAAACATTGCCAGGGATTACTGGTTGCATCGGTGGAAAAGATGGTGAATGCCCTTCTTGACTTGCTGGAGGTGTTGGATAAGTAAAGCAAGGAGAAGGAAGGGGCGATGTAACATATGGCGATTGAACCGGAAGCGCCGAATCATTATTCGTATGTTGTGAATGTGTGTAAGCAAAATCTGCTAAACTAATTGGCAACGGAGAATCTAATACACTTTGAAGATCTTGATGACGTTGGAATGACTGAGGGCTCGAGAGGCTTTCTGTTGGGCTTGTATATCCCTCCAATGATGCAATATCGTGTAATGTGGCAGCCTGCAAGTACAGTAAAAACAAACTTTCGGTATAACATAGATGGTTTATTTATTTTTAGACCCCTTAGTTCATTTTATATCAATAAATCTACTTTAATTTAATATTTACGTTCATTAGCAAGGTCTTTACAATGTAAGATTAATAATTAATACATCTTGTTTGATCAGAATAGAAATAAATGAATAGTTGTATGGTAGAGTATCTAATTCCACAAATCAAATATTTTTTGAACTGGTCGAAACTTTACAAGGTATTAAATTCACTAATTTCGTGGTCCGCTTGAACAATTAATTTATTACAATTAATTAAGGTTTTTAGTTGAGATAAAAAAGTCAATGGCACGAGCGGGATTCGAACCCACAATCTTTGGCTTGATACGCCGCTGCTCTACCACTTGAGCTATCGTGACCTCGACTCACTCAGACACCCACTTCCCATCTCAACCGTTTTGAATTTCACGAGAATCCAATCCGATTACACGACATTTGAAAAATGGCAAAAAGGAGGGAAAATTCATAAGGTGGGGTTGAGATAGGAAGTTGATGTCCGAGTGGATCGAGGTCACGATAGCTCAGGTGGTAGAGTAGCGGCGTATCTAGCCGAAGATCGTGGGTTCGAATCCCGCTCATGCCATTGACTTTTTTATCTCAACTAAAAACCTTAATTAATTGTAATTTATAATGTATGTCTATTGTCGCTAGTTTTTTTGTTGTTGGACAAACTGAATACCATTTAATCATCTTACCTGAATTGATTCAGCCAACTGGCTTGGATCCACTCCCTGTAAAATCATAGATTCTTGTACTGAGTCCACCTGCTGAAAAACATCATCTTGCAGTGTGGGGGAAAAATAACCAGCATCTTCACTGTACACTCCTAGTGAATAAGTTGGGTCAGTCGATAGATTTAATTGAAGTTGCCTAGAACTAACATTAAAAGCATTTATTATAACATTATAATTTTAAATATATTTCAAGGACAGTGTGGGGTTAGTGGTATAAAAATGGCTGCAGAATATTCAGTTTCACAAAATAATTTTTCTAACATGCTAAATGAGTTATTGTGTAAATTTAGATTAATTTTAATTTATTATTAAAAAAATGCCTTGTGAAGGTAATATTGTAAATGAATAAGAACTTATACAATTACAAAACAACTCTGTTTACTATTCACAAATTAATACAATTACAATGAATCCCCCCCCCCCAATAATTTATGACAATAAAGTAGACTCTTGTTATCTGCGCTTTCATTATCCGTGCTTTAATTCATCTGTAATTAAAAACTCACTATTGAAGAATTGCAAGAACTCATCAACTCGACCACCAATGAGGAAACAGGAATGAAGAATGGACAAATTTATAGAAATCTTGCGATTAGCTCAAAAGTTGAAAAATAAAATTGTAGAATATGATTCAATAAGGGAATGAATAATCAACATAACACGTCTGCTAATTCGAGCAACGGACCCTCTCCAACAAAATTTCCAGAGTTAAAAAACCAGACCTAAGCAGACAGAGCAGCCTCCTACAACAATGTTCTTTGAAAAAGCTGAAAGAGCTAACTACTGACTCATCAGCATCTACTTCTAAAAGTGGAATTTAATTTAAATTTTTTATAAACTTTATCTTTTTTAGATGTTAATAATTTTTTCTCATTTGCTTTCATGTTGTGCCTGATGTATGTATGTATTGTTTTCCTGCATGGAATATTATTTACATATATTACTGTATATTATATTTTTCTTGTTGAAAAAATCTTAAATATTTTTATGTGTAAGTTCATACATAACATTGCCATGATATAGAAAGTGTGTGGTATGCAGATAGAAAAGAAAATGCTTGGAAGCCTGAAAGTCGAGATGATTCTTATTAACCATGGTGATGCTTGTTATACGTCCCCTATGGATAACGAGTGTCTTCTGTATATACTGAAAGGTATATTGGGAAAATGTGGTTTTCAGTGATTTTTGTGTATACAACGATAAAACTCAAATATCACTAGTTAAAAAAATGTTAATAGTAAACTAACGTTTCATTAATTGATGGTTGCATTATTCCTGGATCAGAACTCGCCCTTTTGACACTTAATTTGGGCGCTTTTTTCAATATCGGGTGGTCAACGCTTGGCTTTTGCACTGCTCCGTCCAGTTTTCTTCCACATTCGTTACTATCTAATGAGGTGGTCTCAATTGATTTTTCTAGTATCCTTTCTTTAGAAGAAAGAGAAGGTGTAGGAACAAGGAAGGAAGAATTTTTTGTGTTTGATTCCGCATCAGTTGAATTACCGTTACACAAGCTCGTATTTTCAGTACCATGTTTTTCATCTATAACAAAAAAATGTACTTTATAAAACAATTATAACATAAAATCAGGCTATTAAGCAGAACATAGAAAAATTAGGTTAACAGACTGTATTTATAGGAAAAAATAAAACAAAAATACAAGTATTAGGATCAAGCTAATGTTAAGTAATAGAATACAGTAATTTTTACTACTTAATTGGTATATCTAATTTGAGAATAATGACTCATTTTTTCTAATAGTTTATGAGTTAAATTTGGAAAAAGTTAATATGCAATATCAGCTATAATAAATTTGCTTTAGATCAAGTATAAGAAAGACCTTAAAACCTGATCACCATAAAAATCTAATAAAAAATATGATTAAAAGGAAAAGTGTCTCCCGCTTGATTGGCAGTGAAGTTCCTAGGATTCTAGGATTTGAGTCGTTGAAGAGGGATGATCCTTATTCAATTAAGAATAGGGAATGCGAGATTGACACAAGGTCACATAATTTGAAAAAAGGTTGCTCGATGTATCCCACATAATTAAAGAAAATTGTTCCTTTGGTCCATATAGGGAGACAGTAGAAATGCCACACAATATGAGAATTGTGTTTAAGCTATGTTTTGGTTCCATGCTATGATTTTTTGAGAAAACAGCTGTTTTATTGTATGTAGTACTTGGTCGATATTTTATTTTGTATATATTAAGAGTGAATATATTTATTGGAGTAAATGTGTTGTGTGAGGGACCCTTTGGTGGAATAGGAACTTCAAGTGGATTAGTTATATAGTATGTTTAAAAGGCATTGGAGGAATATGGAGCACTCCACCATCCTACTTGAGTGAATGGTATGTAAATAATTGGAATGCTACCGGATTTGAGAAAAGTGCTTGAGTACGGCATCAAATCTTGGGGTCCCCTGTTCTGATTTTGGAAGAAACTGTTCTGTTTTATTGTATCTCATTTTGGGTGTATTGAGAGTGAATGTGTATTAGAGAGCTGTTGGAAAAATTTTGGGTGACTTTGGTGGCTGGTTTGATAAGACAGAGGACTGAACTCGGACGAAATACCGAGTACTGTGGGTAATCTCCTAGCTTTCCGCAACAAGTCATAAGGTGCACATGGTATGCATGTACATATATGTGCAGAATTGAGCTTGTAAAAATCAATTAATCAATCATTCAAGTACAATGTTAATTAAATCAGGTAGATTAAAGGAAGTACTCCAAGTAATATTTCCAAACATTATAGTGTAATTGATAAACAACTTCAGTGTATAAAACTTTGTAATTTATTATTTCTAGTATGTAACCCTATTATTATTTTAAACTACCTAGAATCCATGATAAATGAAACATACCAATAAATTAATGAAATAATCAAAATGCTCCAAGGTAGATTTGAGATTTAATGTAAAGAATTTAGTCACTAATCATCATAAAAAGTAATTAAATAATGTATAAACTTTACTGTATTCACCCTGAGGATGTTAAATTAAGGTGCAGAAGTTAGTTTCTGTACCTGCCTGATTTCCACGAGTACTTGATTTTCAAAGAAAATGGACAATCTTTATTTCTTCAGAGGTGCTACTATTCATTATTATTTTCCTTACCACTTGTTTGTTGGGCGGCAATATTAATGCTCTGATTTTGAGAAGGATTGGTTCGTTTTTGGATAATTTTTTCTTCTATCAATGCTCTAACACTGATGCTTGCTGTTTGCAAAGGCGGCCCAGACAAATCCTTTTTTTCACATTTCTTCGTGTCTGAGTCCTAAAGAGAAATAATATATGAAATCTTATGAAAAAAAAGGCTAAAGGAATTTAAATAAACAATTATGCAATAATAACAAGTCATTACCTTTTTAAAATAGCCACCGTGCAATCTCATGTGTCCATTAAGAGCAGGAATGTTTTTAAACTTACGATGGCAAAGGTTGCACTCAACTGGCTTAGAAGTGGTCACACACTTCGGAGGTACAGTAGATGTCTGAAAAATTAATTAATTAACTGAATTATCTGATTTAAAAATAAATGATTATACCAATGAAAACGTATGTGTCATTATTAACAGTATTTTTAAAATATGACATATTACAAGTTCAGATTTTAATGAGAAGTAAATGTATAAATAAAAAAAAATCATAAATTTAAATTATTTGAACATGATTTTCTTTGATAGTAAACAAGTTTACAAATGTAAATAAAATAAACGTCGAGTAATCGCCAAGGCGCTTTGCTATGTTAAACCTCGGCGACCGATCCGTCATGTTGGATTAGTATACATTCAAGCGCCTTGCTAAGACGAAATTATATTTTATAGAATCCACCCGACAGAATTTCCACTTTCTGCAGGGCACGATCTTATTACCCTAAAATCCTCCGAAACCTACGAAAAAAAAGCAATGGTGTACATTACAACTATTTACAGCCATTCACACAACGTCTCCATCAAGTGGATACTATCCTTAACAACCCCAATCCAAAAATTCCACTCCCCCAAACTTTGCGTCAATCTCTTACAGACCAAAAAGTCACCTATTTTATTTCAAACATTTCAACGCCCTGAACAGTCTAAATACCATATTGTACTCTCAAAACTTCCCCAATAATCAGTCTGGTTTTTGATCCCTTCGTTCTACTTTTGTCCTCTTCTACTCGGCTCTGGAAAACAAGCAATTTTTTAACCATATTTCTGGATGTTACGGAAGCTAAAAAGTATCCTCTATTACACCTACTGAATGCTATCCACTTATGAAATCCTTTTCGAAAAGTGAAAATTGGTTTCAATTTTTCACGCATCATGCCAATCAAAGCTACCGCAAGGAAGTATCTTAGGACTGATCTTATAGACAATCTATATTGCTGACATACCCACAAAATTAATACAAAAATCTACGAAGCGACACTGCAATTCTTACACATAATTCAATCCTACCCTAGCAACAGAAATAGTCCTAGAACACCTAAACCTTATTGGACTAGTGCATTCGGTGGCAAATTAAAGTTAAACGATCAAAAAAACGAACACCATCAGACTTGCCCACCAGTGCACTACAACAAAGGTTATCCCTCCGTCCAAAGTTCTCTACTTCAACTTACATAGAACCCACATATAAGACTAACAAGAAAAGAACTCACCAAAATATTTGGACTTACGGTAGGGCTCGGCCAAATCCTTCATCACCCAACAAATCCAAACAAAGAGAAAATCCTACTCAACAGAAAGTAAAAATTCTAACTGGGACAAGCTCCAGAAAAATACCACTTAAAAATGGGACTTTCTGATGACCAATGTCTTTTATGCCTAGAAGACACAGATACCAAAGAACATATCCTTTGTTTGATGCCATACCATGAGAAGAATTTTTTACTTCATAAAAAAAACTAAAATCTTCCAGGATATCCATTAGCAGAGATCAGCTATAATATACAAAAATTAAAGTCCTAAAGGGAGAAATCCCTACGACTCCAAATGGAGAAAACAAAATCCACTCCTTTAAATCCAAAGTCTTCCACATCATCCTCAACATTCCAATCTATGTCACCCTTTCAGTCCAAAGTCCTCCACCACACCCTCCACATCACTCTTTCAATCCAAAGTCATCTGTAGCACCCTAAACGCTCCGTTCTAAATCACCATTTCAATTCAAAGTTCTCCACCGCAACCTCAACACTCCCCTCTACATCATTCTTTCAATCCAATGTCATCCACAACATCATCAACGCTCCCTTCTACATCAAGCAATGTTAAGATTTTTTAAAGAAAACCTTAATTCACAAAGACTTCTTGGAGGATTTGATCTAAACATGTTTCCATAATTTCCACTCTATCCACTATCTTGACCCGTTCCTAATTTGATATCAGTACTAATTGCTCCATGTATATTTTTTACAGATAGCAATAGATAAAGTAAAAATATGTCTGATAGAAAATAATGATTAACAATAGTATCTAAGTTAAATGAAATTATAACATATTGTTATGTATTATTTTATGTAAATAACAAATAAATTATGATTAAAATCTACACCTATAGAGCCATTTCAGTAATACTATTGTCAAAGGATATAATGACAAATGGCAATTCAAATTAAACATAATCCATGCCTGATAAAAGAATTTTTTTTACAGTTTACTAGCAGAACAAGAAAAAATGCTTTTGATTTTTCTTTCTTAATCTTTCCTGGACCACTTACCATTGACAATAAACTTAAGTAACGTTCTGTTTGAGGGGAGGAGAGGGGAGGAAGAAAACACAAGTGCCGATAAAAGAAAGTTTACACACAGTAAAATAATGGTAGATGGTGGTTGTAATGCATTTAATTGTTGTTTGTTCTTTGGGTACTGTTTTTCTTTTTGGTTTGTACATCAGTTTCTAATAAAACTGTTAAGGTTTCATACAGTATGCACAGTAAAATGATGGTAGATGATGGTTGTAATGCATTTCATTGTTGTTTGTTCTTTGTGTATGTTTTTCTTTTTGGTTTGTACATCAGTTTCTAATAAAACTAATAAGGTTTCATAATTTTTTTTGTAAACAAATTTTCTTTAATGCAGTTTTTAAGGCACTATTGCACGAATCTTGTAATAAATGCATGTCATGAAAAAAATATATATGGGGAAGTTATAAGTGTATGTCTGTTCTCATATACTTTTATTTAGAAACCTGTTATAATGTTTTAAATAAATGATGTATTTAAAAGAAAAGTCTTAAGAAAATTTAGTTCTTTGGTTGTGAAATTTAGTTTAAATTGAAGAAAGTATCAATTAACATTTTAACATTAATCCTTGCATCCACTGCCACTGAGCATTATTATATTTAATTTTACCTGGACAGTCCAATTTTTCTGTTTTGTTAAGCTAGTCGTAGATGAAGTTATGCTGGAAGCAGATGGACATTTTGGGTGAGTTGAAGCTGTAGTTGTCACGGCTTGATGCTGAGTCTGCTGCATAATTTGATGAATGAGATCAATTTGCTGTTTTGTAAGGCCATCATTGTTGTTTTGGCTGTTAGAAGACTATCGAAATAAAAGAGGATGTTAATTTTTCTTTTTATATTTCATTTTAATTAGTGTGATTATTTTTTTGATAAGTCCATAAAACTTTAATTTCTACGATGATCTTCAAAATGTTCATTTTAATTCTAAGCACTTGATCATATCAAATTAGAAGCTCTTATAAGCAGTTACACTAGAGCAGCTCAATTTTCAGGCAAAGCAATAACAGTGAAAAGCTTCAAGTCACTTCAGTTTTTATGGAAGGTTGTGTTAAAAAAAAATGTTGCATGCTTTTTGTATTCACTTCACTATCAAATCGAATCAAACAGTCTTCAAATTGATTTGGTTTTTCTTATCTTCTTATCTATTTTTAAGTCAAGTTTGTAAAATCAAGGAATTGATAAATTTAACATACATTTTTGCACTGTTTTCTTAATGATACACTGTGATTCAAATGAAAAATATACATCTTTATGATAATGTATGTAATAAAGAAAAATAAATCTAATGAGAGGTTTTGGTAGGGAAATAAGGAGGATTTTTCTTACAGCCCCAACCACTGTTTTTATACAGCCAGAAAAAAACATTATCTGATTATTATTTTTGCCATTAGAAACATATTGTCAAATACTTAACATTTCTTGGTGCAGATTAGTTGAAACAGACTAAGCTTTGTCAGTTTTTGAAATCTAACTATGAAAAGGCCAAGTTGACCTACAAAATTACCTAAAGTTTTCATATCCATCTGTTCCCACAAGACAAACAAAAGTTTATTCTAATTGTTTACAATATGGTTTAAGTTATATTAATTTTTTTATGAGGCATTTGTTTTTAGGAATTCAATTGTTATAGAAAATTTGACTACTGCTACTACAACCATCACTACTACCGTTACTACCATCATCACTGATTCTACTACAACTACCTCTACTACTACATTAGTACAACCACAACCACCTTCACGATTAGTATTTTTAAAATAAATTATCTTACAATATAATTTAGTGTATTAGTTAAAAACAGATGATGTAGCTGTTTCTACATGTTTTATTATATTTGTATGTTTTAGTTATTTATTATGCTGTAGCATCTGAGGCAGCATTTCGTGCAAAATGACTAAAAATGAACTTACTCTCGAACCAAAAGGGACAGTGTTTGCAGGTTCGCTGGCTAGAAGCTGTTGAAGCTGCGACACAGGCTTGGTTTGTCCGTTGACGGTACTGCCCGATGAGGCTGGTGGTGCGGGGCTGCTGTATGACGGAGGTGGGGCATACTGTATGCAACTTTGAGGCGACCCGTCATCCCTGTTGGCCGGTGAAAGTGTATGGTTGGATGTGATGCCGGCGTGATGATTTTCCGTGTGTCGCCTGAGGGAACGGGCGTCGCAGTATGACTTCCCACAGCCTTCAGCTTTGCATTCGTAAGGTTTCTTATTCCGATGTGTCAACATATGACCATTTCTAGAATTCAAATGATTTGTAAGAAAACATTTTTATTTTTTTTTTGAGCACAAGAAACAACTTGGTTTGAAATGTTCAATTAATTCAGAAAAGTACTCACAAATGATCCTGTCTTTTAAATGCTTTTCCACACATGGTGCACACATATTTCCTTTCATCACTGTGCGTCAGTTTGTGTTTAGCAAGTGCAGAAGCGTTTCCAAAGACTTTATTGCATACCTGACGAACAAAAATGAGAAATCAGCTTGGTTAAAATAATCACAAATGTTCTTATTTAATTTTAATTAATTATACTTTTTACCTAAGGACTTGGTTGGGATGAAAAAGCTGAAAGCTATAGCTTTTTCATCTCAACCAAGACCTTAGAAAAAAAGTATAATTAATTAAAATAATTAATACGGCCAATTATGACTACTAAATACATATACGAGTTCTTACTTAAGTTAAATATTATACCTCTAGAAGCTGTAAAAGTACTACACAAATGGAAAATTAAAGTAAAACGGTTAAGTATTTACAATAGTAAAAAACGATTAAGAGAAAAACATGTTATAAATAAAACCTAGCGCGGAGCCTCCTAAAGAACAAATAAATAATTACTAATAATTTTATATTTCACTCTTCAATTTTATTACCAATACATAAAACATGACGTGGTTAACGGCCATTTAATAAAACGACAGGGAGAGAACTGGATAGGATAAAGAGACTGAGCTGACGGACCAGGTCATTTGCCAAAAGAGCTTGATGGAGGGTTTTGTAATTGGCTTTCCCTACTTCGGAAACAAAAGGAATCTTAAGGTCATGGTGTAGGGTAATGCAAGGAGGGTGAAAACAGTAAAGGAACCGAGTCAGGTGTATTCTGGGCAATCCCAAAGTGAGGAATCTCCCAAGCAATCCCAAGCTGAAATAGTGGAGAGTACTCCTTTATCCACCGGCTGCACCGCTTTGGAGCGCTGTGAAGGAGATAAGGATGCTCTCTGTAAGGTACAGGGTGATCCGGATGAAGGATTCACCCTGGTAAAAAGAGGGAAGAGAGGCGTGAGATCCAGAAATACACACAGCAGGGGNTCAAAGAATGCGATAGGTATGCTAGGGAAAGATTTAATACTTTCGAAGGAGAGGACATAACCAAAACACTCCCCAGGATAAAATGGTCCACAATCCTGGGGTTTGTGAATAGGTCCAATAGGTTTATACAGGACTCGTGAGCCGACCAGGTCCCGGACCTTCTAGGGATGGGGTACGGGCCTACTCAGGCTTTTAACCCCTCGGGTCCTGGTCGCCCGCCCTGTGTAATATATAAAGTGAGGAATCAAAATTATGCCATAGATAATAATGAACGATGCAAAATAGAGAAAAAATCATGAGATCAGACAGCCAAAAGGCCCTAAATGCCTTAATCTCGTTAAATGTCACATCAAAAATAGTCAAAACTGGGAAAACATAACAACGTAACAACCGTGGGTGTCAGGACATAGGAATTTTGGGTAATGAATGGAGAGTCCAGAGGAAGATTAAAAGGACCAATTATACGCCCAAAACCTAAAATCGAGGTAACAAGTTCAAACGGGGAGTCCGTGGCTACAATGGTTTAGGCGTTGACACGGCGCCCATCACTGTAAGGTGGTCCCGGGTTCGGATCCAGCGGTCCTGCATTCGAACCCGACATACTTACAAATGGACTTTTTTTCAAAAACACCGGCACCATGAGGGTTGATATGACTTCTGCTGTTGCGAACCCTCGTTAAAAAAAATCAACCATAGGACCCCCTATGTAAGAATGTGTTCATTTAAGTAAAAGGAAGGAACTCTAGAGGTGCCAGACACACTAAACTTATTGTTACAGAACCCGCAATGACAAAAGCACACAAGTTGCTCCAGCTAAACATGATCAAACAGTCATTGGGTAAATCATTTGAGAACTTCTTTGGTTTCAGATAAAGTTTATGGAAAGTTGTCATTACAAAGGGTGGATAGGAAGGCATAACCTAAAAAGGGAAGGAAGAAAAAAAATCAACAGATGCCTACAAAACTAGCGACAGAACCGGGCCAAGTATATTTTGTGCAATCTCAATACTGGAGTAATTAAACTTATTATATAAGTACAGTAAATATAGCTCGGTCTTCCAAGCTGAAATTCATGCTATTAATGTTTATGCTATAGAAAATCATAAAAGAGGTTACTGGAAAAACTCATCGTGAGATAAGAGAGCCAAGAAGTCCTAAAAGCATTAGAACGAAAAATGTGGCATCAAAAATAATCGGTAAATGTATCTAAAGAGTTCGAAACCTGAGAAAACATAAATTAACAATACCTTGGGCTGTACAATCTACCAGAGGGAGATCTGCAAGACCAATTATAAGCCCAGAACCTATAATCGGTGTAAGAAGATCTTAGCACCTTCCTTCTCAGAATAGGATAATGATGTCGGGATGAGAAGGGGTATCATCAGTAACGAACCTGAGGAACGCCGGGTACGCCTTCTCTAAACGAGAGTGGGGGATCCGACTCATACACTAATGTACTAGTCTGCCAAGTAGTACTTGAGACTGAGGAAGTAGAGGGTAAAACGCCATTTACTTTCCAGGCCAAACGCAGGTGTCAGGTTCGATCGAAGCCCCCCGGGCAACATTCCTTCTTCTCAAGAGAGGATGTGACGATGTCCACAACTGTATGGCAATATTAAACTCTGGTATGATTACGCATAAATCCAAATTGATGGTCATGGATTATAAATTGCGTAAAAATGAATAGGGGTATTTGTAATTTATTTTTATTCTTTTAATTTTAATTAAATTAACTGATATATTCTTGTTAGTTGGAGAAAACAAAATAGAAAATACAAACCAAAAACAACAAATTTGTTAATCCTCATTTTTAATAACGGATTTACTTAAGAATACTATGCGTGGTGTTTAGTGACCGTTAGCCAATGATTATTTGGAGATCGTGAGGTGCGATCTGGTGTGAAGTAGTTTTAGAAAAAACATTTTCTTTTCATGCCAACGTTTCGATGTTTATTGAGAACTGTATTCACAAAAACAAACACTTTGAGCCCTGAAGATGATCCCAATAAAGATCGAAACGTTGGCACGATAAAGAAAATGTTTTTCTAACAATTACGTCACACCAGACCGCATCATCTCCAAATAATCTTAAGAATAGTAAACATGAAGATTACTCATTTTGTAAACAAACAACATTTTCTCGTCTTTTCTCCATTTTGATCCAGTAGCATTCTTTTTGACCATGGAAAGACATAATCTTGCAGAATTTCGCAATATTATTGTGAGACTGAGTCATCGAGGTCATCGGCAAGTGGATATCGCAGAGGCAGTTGACGTTCCTCAAAGCGTAGTCTCCCGGGCTTATGCCGATTCCGAGAGACTGTAAGTGCCAATAGTAGTCCTGGTACTGGATTACGACATTAAGGCTCATTATGACGCTAAGGGAGGACAGTAATATTGTCATTGCTACAAGACGGAACCCTTTCCTGTGCCCGCCAGATCCTAAATGATGTACAAGATGTTTTGGCAAGGTCTTTATCTACACAAACGAATCGTCATCACCTCACATCGTATGCCCCTTTGAGACGACCTGCAGCAACAGCCCGCCCCCTAAAACTCAGGAGAATTTGCTGCAGCGAGTGCCTAGAAGAGGAATGCTATTGTTTTTGTTGCGATTCTGTCTGTATAGGGAAAGCAGACTTTCGCTACACGCTCTCTGTAAGGAGACAAGGCATGACAAGCTTTTATTATGTAGGAGGGGACTTTGGCCCAGGAGCAGGTACCTGTGTTTTAACCACGTATGACCTATTCTTAATAGACTAAGGACGATTCCTCTTTTTCGGCTTAGGTTTTCCAGGCTATCTACAGTTTGTGCTCTTGGCAAGAGCCTCGCGGACGACCTCGCCCACTTTTTTCACTGTTTAGTTGTTAGTAATAAAATCTTAGGACTACACTTATTTGTAGATTGCGTAACTTTAAAGAATTCTTTATTGTTCTTTATATTTTACTTGTAAGTTCATGACGTTACTTATGTATGAACATGTTCCGACGTTCCAACTTTTCCGTGCCATTTTTCCCAGTTTCCCATCTGTCCTCTCTATTCAGGCGTACCCCTAATTGTTGAAAGAAGATGGGGATTGGGATGGAAGCAATATAAAAAGTAAGTTCTACCAAAGGGATTTGCCAACAAGAAGAGTATGCTCTGATCGAATCTGCCGCTTTCAATGTAGAATGAAGGCCGGCGAATTATTTTGCCGGTAAAAACATACAGTCTTTATTTGGCTGTTTGAACGTATCTTGTATTTGCAAAAGGTCAAATTATCTGAATATTTAGAGTCCTACGATTTTATGCTTAAAAGGAATATTTAAAAAATAGATGCTTAGCAAATGTCATTCTTCTATTGCATGGCGTGTACCATTAAAATGTAATTTCTCTACTATAAAACTAAAAAAGTCTGCTAAAAAAGAGCAAAGCTTAATGATTCTGGGTTCAAGTACCGTCATAGCACTTGGAATTATTTGAGATTAATTTGGGCAAAAGTATTGCGTAAGAGTGACCCTTTCGCAACACCCAACGGTAATTTGGACGTTGAGCCCTACTTGGATAGGAATTATATTTCATTATCATATTCTTCTATTAAATGTGAAAAAAGTAAAGCGTTCCACATCAAGCTCCCATATTGTTTGAAAAAGAATTATGAGAAATTCGTCTTATGCAAAGTACCATCTGGAAGTGTAGTTCGTTAAATCTATTATAATTAAAAATGTTCCAAAGAACGTTTTACTTAAAAGGGCTTTTAATTAATAAAATTTCAAAAATTACGGTATCGCTCGAAAACCGAAAGAAAGTCGGTTTTAATTATGTATAAATTATGACAGCATAAATCGAAGATAACTTTGGGGAAAGTTTTAGAAGGAAAAATTTCAGGTAAAAGAAGGAATTTTGTTTATGAAGTTTTCAAAGGACCCCGCTCTCAGCCAATCGTTAAATTGGTTTTTTTATATTTCAAGTTAACTCACTCAATTAAAATACAAAACCAGACATGATAACTAAGGGCGAAGATAAAATTATAAAAAATGTATTTAATTGGAACAACTTTTTACAAGTAATTGTGAGCGTTGAGCGTTCATTAAAGTTACACACGGTGTGAATTTAAAACGACCTTTTATTTTTAACAGGATGAAACAGGAGAAATTAAATATTAATT